CCTCCTCGATGTCCAGTTGCCTCCCAATCACATAACCTGCAACCAAACCTGCACACACCCAGTGAGTAGCATACCCAGTGTCTGTTTAGGACCACAGTCACCCATCCATTAAGGCTGTTTCGGCTCACTGGACAAGCTGCCAACTCCCAATTCTTCCTCAGATTAATCCACACTGACCTCGCTTTTCCTCAGAGCCAGCAAGTGTTTGTGGCGTGCAGGGCGATGAGAGAGGAGTCAATCCTCGCTAGTTGTCTTCCATTGCTTTTGTAGTCCCATGATTTGTGGTGCGAGGAGAGGGGAAGAGGGAACTTTGACTATGTTCGATTCAAAAGTTGACGTAAACTATTGAGTTTGTAACCTTAACCGAAAGCAGTGTATGAGGCAATGAGTTGAGGTTTTTCAGTGGAAAAGCTCCCGCTAGAACGTCACGTGGAACCTGCTGTGAAGTGATTTCATTAACTTTTTTTGTATTGAATTGCAAAATAAAATGTTGGGGCTACCTGTCTCTCACGTGTCGTGCTGTCAGTGTCATGGACTTGTTCTGATCCACGTGTTAAGGGTATCAAGGGATATGGGTTAAGGGTTGGCAATTGGAGTTGAGGTACAGATCAACCTTGATCTAAAAGAATGGGAGAACAGGCTCGAGGGGCTGAATGGCCTCCTGTTTCTTATCTTTCTAAGGTCTAACCAGCAGCTGACTGATGGGCCTCTCCCCCAGCGAGAACTTGCATTTATGGAGCGCCCTTCTCCCAATCAACAAGACGCCAACTGGTCCAAAAAAAGAAAGAACATTTTAATATTACTCACAATAAGAAATTGGGAATATAGCAAGAGGATTATAAATTATCCTGCGTGTGTCCTGATGTGCGCCCCGGTCGGTTGGGATGTATTTTTTTTGGTCTCTTTATGATTGAATAGTCCCTTTTTTCGTCAAGATTCAATCCACCAATTGCTTGGTGTATGTGAGGCACAAGTTCTCTTCCTCTATTTACAACGAAGGCTTTGGGATGAGTGAGTCTGTCTCCCCTCAATGGATTCAGAGAGGCCCTGGGAACTGCGACGAGGCTGACGAGGCCAGCGTCTCGAAAGTAGCTGAAGGCACGTTTGGTTTTGGTCACTTGGTCACGGAGAAAATCGGTACAAAAAAAATCCCAAGTCTGACATTTGGTTTGGTTTAGTTTGGTGGCTTTCAGATAAGATTATTTGGTCACTGTCCCCTTGTTTTCCAACTAACAAAGCTCTTCCATCTTCTCAGTTCTGGTCGTTCAATTCCTGGTACCCTCCTTGACCCTCCCCCCACCCCTCACCCACCCATCCAACCACCCACCCACCCACCCACACACACACATACACTCGCGCGCACCTCAGTAAAAAAAATATCTCGAGACAGCTTTTGTGGGACTGAAGATCATTCCCACAAGGTAGTGCCATGTGCTTTGGAATTGGTTGAAATGTTTCCTCCATTAAGACGTCGCGATCACTTATACGGATTGTCTTCAAAGAACTAAAATGATGAGGAATGTCTTCCCACATTGTGCATAGGAACAACGCTCCAGAAAGCTTCTGCAGCCGAGTCAATCCACCAGCCTTTTTTTTTAAGCTGTTCAATAAACCCCTGGATTTCCAACTGGGGCTCAAAAAGTCTTTGTCAAACGCCCCTCGAAAAAAAAGTGGTTAGAAATACATCTGATCATCTTCGAAGAGTTCAATGTGAGCGTGGTCAATCCCTGGGACTGGCTGGGACCCTTCCTCACATCTTCTGACGTGGAAGGATAGTCCCAGTCTTCCTTGGGAATGATTCCCAATTTTTTTTTCAGTACAAGCACCCATCCATCTGGCTGGATCCCAGAAGGATATTTTGCCCCCGGGAACAATTCACTTTAGTCAACTTCAGGATGAAGACGGAGATGAAAGAACTTAGTGTGGACTCGATCAAACGATGAAGAATGTCTTGTTTCGCTCAGGCTTGTGCTCGCTCAGGAACCCTCTTCAGATCACTGAGCGATGCTGGACATTCAGTGTTTGTTGAGTGTGTGGGGCAGAGGTGATGGTGGGGGGGGGTGGGGGTGGGTGGTGAGTTGGTGGGGTGGGGGAGAAAGGCAGGCTGGACGGGGAGAGAGATGGGCGGGAGAAGAAGGAACCAAATCCATTGTCTATGTGCAAGATTCTTCCTCCATTGGTTCCTCGTTGGATCTGCGGAAAAGGGAATCACACACGGAAAGAGAAGTGGGTTAGAAAGGGATTGTTGGGATTGTCGGGCCCTATGGCGTTGTGGTTAATGTGTTCGCCTCGCAAGCGAGAGGACTCGGGTTCGATTCCCGGGCAGGGCGAAACTTTAGGCAAGATTCCCTGCTCCACACACACCCTTATGTTTCCCAGCAGTAAGTCGGAACCCGGTTGTTGGTGGATCGCTTTCCTGAGAGTAATGAATCCCTCCAAAAAAAAAACAATTTGCTCGCTCAATCCTTGACTGTCTGTGGGGACGCTGCTGTGCGCAATTGGCTGCCGCGTTTCGCCCCCAAAATACACAGTTCACTACACTTTACAACGTACCCTGTGAAGCGCTTTGAGCCGTCTCGATGTGAAACGCAAGGGTCATTAGTAATATTATCATTGTTAATATTATTGTTATTAATATTATTATTACTACTATTAATATTATGGCGCCGCCAGGTCTCACCTCTTCTCGGGAGCTGCTCCGGCTCCTTGTGCGACGCGGACGGACAGCAGAGCGAGCGCCGTCACTGTTTCCGCCTCCTCCTTGTCGTGTCTCTGAGCCTCAATCAGTGAGTAGCCCACCGTGGGGACAAATCGCTGCACACACGGCCAGTATTTACCTGCACAGCAACAACAACAACAACAACAAGTTACCCACTGCTCCCTCCGCCGCAGGAACATCCCACGATGCCTTTTCGTAGTCGTGGAAATCTGGAACTTATGAATAATAATTAAGAGTAACAAGTTATTATAATATAATTAATAATCATAACAGTCACAACGATAATAGCAATAATAACAAGAACGACAATAAGAACAATAATAATATCAATTACAATAATAATCAGTGCTGTTGGCAATAAGGACGCCGGGCTTCAGAAATAACGTCCGTCACACCCGGATGTCGTTACGGAGCCAAACGCGGTGGCGAAAGCCCTCACACGCGATGGGGGGAAACGTGCGGGAACGTAATAATCCCTTCGAGAATAATAATAATCCGGTCGCTCGATCCGCGACTGTTTGTGGGACGTCTGTGTGCGCAATCGGCGGCCGCGTTTCGCCCACAAAATACCCAGTCACTCCACTTTTGCAGTGTATCCTGTAGAAGCGCTTTGAGACGTCTTGAAGACGTGATCAGGCCCTGTGTCAAACGCGAGGATTATTATTATTATTACTACTTTGGCAAAATAATCGGACGTTGGCAATGGCATGAACGGGACCCTGAGGATGACCTTCGACCTCCAATTAAACGCTGACGATTTCGTGTCGTCGGCCTTTGGCTGAGACTCCGCACTCATCACGTGATCCCCTGACGACGACGACGACGACAACTTGACTTTACGCAGCGCCCGCCACCCGGGGCGGCGGCGCAGAGCGCAGAGCGCAGAGCGGTGACGGACTTACTCTGCACCTCGAGGACTCGCTCCAGTGACTGGACGGCGTTTGCGTTTGGCGTTTGCTGCAAGACGTGTTCCGGGAGACCTTCCAGCTGGCGAGGAAGGGGTTAAAGAGCCTTTTAAGTATTATTTCATTCTCGCTCTGGCCGTTCTGTGAAATAAGTGCGTCTTCCCTCCCTCCCTCCCTACACCCCCCCCCCCCCCGCCCGCCCGCGCTCTCTCGCTCTCTCCCCCCATCCCCCCACTCCCTCTTTCTCCCTCCCCTCGCTCTCCCTCCCTCCCCCCCCAGTTGTTAGTCGATTGGCGGCTGGCTTTCCCGGGGCAATAATCCCCTCCAAAGAATGTATGAATAAATAAGTCATAATTTGGTCATTCAATCCACGACCGTTTGTGTGCAATTGGCTGCCCACAAAACATACAGTCACTACACTTTACAGTATATTCTGTGAAGCGCTTTGAGACGTCTCGGAGATGTGATAAGGCACTGTATTATTTTTCTCAGTGGTGTCAGTTAATAGTATTAACGATAATAATCCTCGCATTTGATACAGTGCCTTATTACGTCTTCGAGACGTCTCAAAGCGCTTCACAGAATATACTGTAAAGTGTAGTGACTGCATATTTTGCGGCTGAAGTATACATTTGCTGTGTGTCAGACCCGCAGAGGGGAGTGAGAGTGAGGTGATGGTTCGTGGGGGTGAGGGGTGGTGGGGGGAGGGTCTCTCTTACCTCTTTCCCGAGCAGCGCTGACACACAGGCCTCCGAGGCATCGCAGATGGAGGTCAAGTCGTGTCCACCCTCCAGGGCCATGGCCACCCGACCCCCCGCCAGGGACATCAGCTGCCGCGTCAAGTGTCCAAAACCTGCGGCCACACAATATCCCGTTGGGTTACCAGAGGCTTAAGGTGAGACGTCAAACCGAGCTCCCACAAGTGCAGGGGCTGGGGGGGAGCGGCACATCCTCAGAGGTGCTGGGGGCAGGGGGTCAACCCACTCAGCTCCTGTTAACACCCCAACGGGGAGGGTGGTCCTGGCTGGACAAGCAGCGGGAAAGCTCAGCCAGACAGCGCTCTCAAAGGCCGGCTGTCTGCTGGCTAGACTCCCAGCAGTTGGATTTGTGGGACTTTTGTTACTCACATTTGGCCGAAACCTTGTAGCCCCCCAGCTGCGGCGGGTGCCCCTCCACCGCGTCGAACCCCGAGGAGACCAGGACCACATCCGGAGCAAACTCCGTGGCGATCGGCATCACCACCGTCCTGCAATCGAGAGAAGAGACCGTGTGGGCGGCGAGACTGAGACACGGAGAGAGAGACAGAGGGAGAGAGACAGAGAGAGAGAGAGAGAGAGAGACAGAGAGAGCCAGAGGCAGAGATATAGGGAGACAGGCAGAGGGAGAGACAGACGGAGAGACAGAGGGAGAGACAGACGGAGAGAGAGAGAGACAGAGGGCGAGATATAGGCAGATGGAGAGGGGTTGATGGAGAAACCGAGGGAGAGAAGAGAGAGGGAGAGACAGACACAGACTGTTTAAGCGCTGTATCGGATGAAAGGAAGTAGTTTCGCTCTCATTGCGACGCTCAGCGATGAGATGAACATTCCCTTCCCTTTGCACTGAGACACGTGTGTGTATGTATGTGTGTGTGTGGGGGGGGGGGGCAGGGGAGACACCGCTGTCTGCCGCCTTTCGCCCACAAAATACACACAGCCCCTCTGCTCTCCAACATATTCGGTGAAGCGCTTCGAAACGTCTCTCGACGGACGTGATCAGGAGCGCTATCGAATGCGAGGATTGTTAATGAATTAATTCCTGCATTTAATGTGGCTCAGCGGGTCAGGGCAGCATCGAGGGAGAGAGAGGGAGAGGGAGGAAAGTGAGTTAACCTCTCAGGCTCCATGACTTTTCATCAGAAATGGCGGAAAAGTGAACTCACTCTCCCTCTCTCTCTCTCTCTCTCTCTCTCTCTCCATAGACGCTGCCTGACCTGCGGAGCGTTCCCAGTCACTTCTGTTTCCATTTCAGATTTCCGGCATCTGCAGTATTTTGGCTTCTGCTTCCAATTTGGTTGGTTTCCAGATCTGGACATCACATCAGGGGTTCGCCCCGAGACAGGCAGCTGGTTTTCATCAGCGATCATTGTTTATTTCTGAACAATTCCCCCCCCACCCCCCACCACCACCCGCACCACCCCCCCCCCTCTCTCTCTCTCTCTCTCCTCAATAAAGTCTCCTCCGCTGTGCGTGTGGGTGTGAGTCTGTTTCGACTTCCACCAGCTACAGGAAATCAGTCACAACAACAACACATTACCTTTCAGGTCGTGAGGACGTCGCAAGGTGCTGGGCAGTCAGGGGCTTGACCCGAGCCCGGGGGGGGGGGCTTGGCATCAGGAGGGGGGATGGAGGGCGGGGAGGGCAGGAGTAGGAGGGTGAGGACCCGATCGAAGAGGATGGTCTTGAGGCAGGTCTTGAAGGAGGCGAGGGAGGGGGCGAGGCAAATGGACAGTGTAGAGGGAGCTTTACTCGGGCTCTGACCCTGACCTGGGAGTGTGGACGCACACTGTAGAGGGAGCGTTGCTCTTACCGAAAAGCCGCCAGATATTCCGCGTCTCCCATGGGTGGATCGAGGCCTCCGGTCCAGGCCACATTGACATTAAACCCGAGCCCAGGACCACTCCCAGCCTGGAACACAACAACAACAACAACAACTCACACTCACACACCGCCTTCACTTGAAGCCCAAACGCAGTGAGCGAGTCAGAACCACTTTTTTTTTTTTTTTTTGCCCAACCGGGTGTCTGACACACGCGGAAACCCGTCACCGTGGCTCGAGAGTCTCCAAACCCGACTGAGAATTCCCCACATCCCACGTACACACGGACACCCCAGAGAGAGATTGTTGGAATGGAATGCGCTCTCTCTCTCTCTCTCTCTCTCGCTCTCTCTCCCTGGAGGGACGCCTCCTGCTTACCTAATTCCAGAGAGTATTAGGCGCAGGTGGCAAGAGCCCAAGAGTCTGCGTTGGGGTAACTGCTGGAGTCTAACCAGCTAAACCCACGCATAACTCGGCCATTGAGAGCACTGTACGGCAAAGCTTTCCTGCTGCTTGTCCAGCTCGGACCACCCTCCCCATTACAGTTGGGGGGGGGTCAATTAACCTCACAGTCTAGAGTCACCCAACAAATATACACAGTCACTACACTTGACAGCAACTCCCTGGGACGATATGATAAGACGCAGTAAAACAAGGGGGTTTTATAATATAATAATAATAATAATCCTCGCATTTGATGCAGCGCCTCATCACGTCTTCGAGACGTCTCAAAGTGCTTCACAGGATATACTGCAAAGTGTAGTGACTGTAATTTTCGAGGGCGAAACCGAGTCAACCCGTTACGAGATTTTCCTTCCAGCTCACCTCATCCGCAGACCCACTGCCTGGGAAGAAGTTCCCGTCATCGTAGCGATGCAGGGAGATGTACAGCACGTTGGGGTCTCTGTAGAAAACCTGTTGTGTCCCGTTCCCATGGTGTACATCCTGTAAAAATTACAATTATAATAATAAGTGCTGTTGGCACAAAGTAAAACATCCTTTACTTCAGCGAGCGAGTCGTAAACTTATGCAACAGTCTCCCGAGGGAGGCAGACGGTGGAAGCAGAAAGCGTTGTTTGTTTCAAGAACACATTAGATAAGATTTCTGCCGGAAAATAATATCGCGGGGATACAGTATACAGTTTGGGACATGACCTATCAAGTCAGGATGGTGGAAAGCGAACTAAATGGACCTCAGTCTTCTTTCTCCAGAAAATTCTTACGTTCTTTGTGTTCTGATGATTCACAGTCAACGTATTAAAATGAAAAAAAAGACTGAGGGGAACAGATGTTTGTGAGGTGTGTGTGTGTGATCAGGTTTTCTTCACTCGCTTCCTTCTTACCTCCCTCTTCCAGTTTCTCCTCCCCCCCCAACAGGTGAAAGTCTTTCACTCAAAATGACCCACAAAGTGATAGGTGTATCGGGAGACTTAATAATAATAATGCAATGAATTATTTGTGCCAAGGTGACTGATCCCTGGGAAAAGATCACAGGGCAATAACTGTGTAGTTGACCAGAAAACAAGGGTTTATAGACTCGTGTTTAAGAAGGGCTGTAACAGGAAGCCTCAACGTGGAACTAAAGTGCAGGTCCATGACCACAAAGCTGGGGCTGGGGAGGGCAGAGGGCTGTGTGCTGTTGGGGAATAATAATAATAATAGCAATAATAATTCTTGCATTTGATATAGCGCCTTATTGCGTGAGACTTGTCAAACCGCTTCACAGAATATACCGTGAAGTGAATTGGCTGTGTGTTTCTGTGGGCGAAAACTGCATATTGATAGTATATATTTTTTNAAAAATGCAAGGATTCCTACTGTTACTATTATATTTGTGTGGGGAAGATAGAAAGCAAGACACTTAGAATTCCTGCATTCTAAAACCCCAACCCCTGGGAGAGACAATATTATATTGTTATACTAATAACATAAATTAATATTAATAACAGCAGCGTCCCACAAATGGGTTAAGTGACCAAATCATTATTTTTGAAGGGATCATTACCCCTAAAAATAACAGAATAAATCCATATTAATATTAATAATAAGAGTAAATCTTGAGCCAGGTGACATTTCTCCCCTTGTGTGTTCTAGACAGAACAAATCACTATATCTGTGTCTGTGCACCTTCAATCGAATCCTATGTTTCAGTGTTTTCCCCACGTCCCAAGTTTGCAATTGATAAAAGAAACGTCAAAATAATAAAACTAAATGCACTTTTCGGAAAAAAATATAAGGACTTGATCATGCTTTAGGAACAAATTAGATAAGATTTCTGCTAGAAAATAATACCTGGGGGGGATACAGTATATCGCTTGGGACACGACATGTCAAGCGACTGCCAGGACGGTGGAAATACGAACTAGATGGACCTCGGTCTTCTTTCGCCAGCAAATTCTTATGTTCTTATGGACAAAGCCAGTGTGAAGTGAATCTTGTGTGTGTGTTCGTGTGTGTGTGGGTGGTGGGGAGATGAGGGGAGACAATGGGTTTGAGAGCGTAATCACAGCAAGTCTCAAACAGAATGCACTGTTAAGCATGCAAGAAAATAAGCAGCATTGGAACAATATTAGGAAGTTCATTGCTTAACACGTAATGTAATACTCAAGATTAATGGAAGCACAAAATGACACATAACGTCATCACAAACTACAACAACTTGCATTTATATAGCGCCCTTCAAGCTGCTCGGATGTCCAAAGAGGACTACATGAACTCAAGATGTTGTACACTGTGATATTGGATAAGTTCTGCTCTGGGAGACCAGAGTTTAGCTACAGGTCTTCGCCAGAACTCAGTGACGTCGAACGTAGCTCAGAACAGGGCAGGTCAGGGCTGTCTGCTTTGGCTGCAGTTACACACCTATTTATCGCAAGAGCAGCAAGGAACACATAGGGGGCGTGATTCCCAATTGATTGCTCACAAGATCCACTTGGCGATGGTGGGGTAGCAGGGAGGGGAGAAATAACGCTCCTGGAAGGTAAGTGGAGTCATCGCAAAGTGTGACTTGAGTGAAATGTGAGCAGTGAAATGTTTTTTTTTCTGGTCAGCCGGGCGTCTACACCCATCATCTCCAAACCACACTGAGAATTCCACGCATCCCACCTCACACCTGGAAATCCCAGTTAGATTGTTGGAATGGAATGCGCTCTCTCTCTCTCTATGTGTGGAGCCCAAACCGTGCGTTAGCTGGAGTCTAAGCAGCTAAAACCGCATTGATAGCATTGCCTGGCAATCTTTCTTCCCTCTGCTTGTCCAGCTAGGACCACCCTACTCGATAGGGTTTTGGCTGCAGGGTTAACAGGAGCTGACCCTGAACAAACAAAATGGTTTCTGGATATAACTTTAGACTCTGGATTTGCGCAGAGACGTTGGTACGGTCCGAGGCAGGGGCAGGAAGGACAGATGTGCTAACACCTCAATCTGTCTCCCTCCCTCAAGTTGTTGTTTTGGGACACACAATCCGCTTTGGGAAGAGTTTTTCCATCCCAAGTCCCGAGCGCACGTGTAACCTCCTCAGCTTGAACCAACTCAAGAGGCAAAAGTCCGAAATTCCACTCAGTCTCCGCCTTCAGGAACCTAAGGTCTGACAGAAAAGAACGGATACAGTCTCTGGCGTTTGTCAGAGTTTCGGATTCTTTTCTTTTCAAGAACTGCAGAAAAACGGCTCAAACCGTATTTAAGAATTTGCTACTATTTCTCTACCACCTTGAACCTTAAGACAGAACGCTCTCGCAGGCTAAGACGAGATGGAATTTCGGGCCTCGGGGACTCTTAATGACAGCAGAGGGCTTATAAGCCAAACACCTGGCAATCCGAGAGATAATTTTCCTGCGATACAGCCGTGAATCCCTGTATATTATACGGACAGCTGAAGGCGAGGAATAGGGGCTGCTGATCTCTGACTGTGCTGCAAGGACTCTGACCGGATGTCCTTAGAAAGTGATTAACTGTAAAAAAACATATTGTTGTCGCTGCAAATAAGCAGACGCAGACACGAGAGAGATGCCGCTCTCTTTCTATCTACCTATCCCGTGATAATTGACCCCCTTAGCTTGTCTCTTTGATTAAAAAACACACACATGGATGAAACACAATCCTAGATGCACAGGACAAATACGACTCCACCATCACAATAAGTTATACCACGACATTAATTAATTAATTAATTAATTCCACCAGTGAGCCACTGGCCAGTGTGTACACGGCTCCACGGTCACTGTGCCACGCAGGCTACAAGCGTGTACGCCAGGTTAAGTGTACACTCGTGTCGCCGGCGAGCGTGTATGCACGCGAGAGACCGGTTAGCCCGGGGCGAGAGCGTGCCACCAGCGAAGGGTGCACGTGTCACCAATTAGGTGCACGCATCGCCCGCTGGTGAGCGCGGCTCACCGATTCATGTGCACGGGTCACCAGGTGGTGAGCACGTGTCGTCAATTAGTGCGAGAGTCACCAAATAGTGCGCACGAATCACTTGTTAGTGTGCACGTGCCACCAAGTCGTGAGCGCGGGTCACCAGTCAGTGTGCAGTCGTGTAAAGACACACTGGTGTGCACAGGCCCGATTCAGAAGTCGCTCAGGATACTGATGTCCGCAAACTCCTTCCTGTATCGATGCGAGTAGAGAGAGAGAAGGAACGCCCACTTCCACGTAACAAAACACCACACGCAGGACAGGTAGTAGCTGGTCGGGTCAGTCAGCGCTGAAAAAAAGAAAGGGAAAGAGAGACATATTAATAAATGATAATAATCATTCTTGCATTTGATACAGCGCCTTATCACGTCTTCAAGACGTCTCAAAGCGCTTCACAGGATACGCTGTAAAGTGAATTGACCTAAGTAACAATTTACTTTCATTCCAATTCATCTCATGGTCGGGGCAGCAGATTTCAGAAGTCCCCTGACATGCAAGGTGCTGAATATAAATTATTATTATTATTATTATTATTATAAGTTATAACAAAATTATTGCACATGTGAGAGCCCTGGCAATGTCCCTGCAATTTAAGTGTCTACTGCCCTCTGGTAGTGACTGAGAATAATGCAATGAGGTCCAACTTCTCAAGTCAGCTTTGAGGGTTTCAGCAATCATGGAACAGAATCTTACAGCACAGGAGGAGGCCATTCGGCCCATTGTGCCTGAAAGAGCTACCAACTAGTCCCACGCCCCTCCTCTCACCCCATAGCCCCACAATTGTTTCCTTTTCAAGTCCCTATCCAATTCCCTTTTGAAAGCTTATTATTGAATTCCACCGCCCTTTCAGGCAGTGCGTTCCAGACCGTAACAACTCGCTGCGTAAAAAAAAGTCTCCTCGTCTCCCCTCTGGTTCTTTTGCCAATTGTCATAAATCTGTGTCCTCTGGTTACCGACTCACCCGCCTGCCAGAGGAAACAGTTTCTCTCTATCTACTCTTATCAAAACCCCTCAAAATTGCATTTGACAGGTCACTCTGTACAACATGCGTATTTTAAATGAAGGTCCACTTTTGCCTGGTGCAGACGGAGACGACATCTAGATCACAGTAACTGAGGGGAGAAGGAAGAAGATATTTAATAATAATAATCCTTGCATTTGATATAGCGCTTTTCATGTCTTCTCGACGTCTCAAAGCGCTTCACAGGATAGACTGTAAAGTGAATTGATCGTATATTTGTGGCGAAACGCGGCAGCCAATTGCGCACAGCAGTTCCACAAACAGTCGTGGATTGAAAATGACCAATTAATTATTGTTTTATTAATAATTAATAACCCAAACTATCAGGTATTGGAAAAACTGGATAAAATGCAGGTTGTTGCTGCTGTATTAAACACTCACACTGCTGCTTGGTGACGGCCAACACCAGGAATGTGATAAATCCCACCACTGCCACCACTTGGAAGAGGATCCCGATAAACAGGAAGAATTTCAGGCCTTTGAGCCACGTCCGCCAGTAATCTTGCACATACATGATGTGAGCCACGAGGCACCAGAAGGCGAGCACACCTGCGGGGAGAGTTACAGTATATTACAGTCTATTACAGTACCTGGAATCCCGAACAAGGGGACACCATCTTAAAATTACAGCTAAGCCTTTTAGGAGTTAAATCAAGAGGCAGTTTTTCACCCGAAGAGGAGTGGAAATCTGGAACTCTCTCCCTCAAAAGGCTGCGGATTATGGCTGAATCCATTCACAACTTCAAGACTGAGGTGGAGAGATATTTGTTAGGTCAGGGTATTAAGAGATACGGGGCAAAGGCAGGTAATTGTACTTGAGGGGCTCTGGGACGCTACCCAGCGTGAAGGGCGCTATATAAATGCAAGTTGTTGTTGTTCTTGAGGTACAGATCAGCCATGATCTTATAGAATGGCGGAAGGGGCTCGAGGGGCTGAATGGCCTACTCCTGTTTCTAGGTTTCTATATCATCTGTGAACCGCTGTGAGATGTCTCGGAGACGTGATCAGGCGCTGACTACATCAAATGCAAGAAAGGCACCTCTGATACTGTGCTGAATTTCTCGATTTCAAGATCCTCACACTCGTCTTCAAATCCCTTCACACCTTGGCGTCGCTCTATCTCTCTGACCTGCTTACTCCCCAACCCACTACCTGCTGCCTCCGCTCGACTGGATGCCTCGTGCCCTCCGTTCCGCCGTCGGCGGCCGCGCCTTCAGCCACCACGTCCCGAAACTCTGAAAACTCTCTCCCTCTATCCCTCTGCCTTGCCCCCTCCTTCCGCATCTTCAGGTCGCGCCTGAAGACCTTTCTCTTCGATCGTGCTTGTGGTCACCTCCCCCTCCCGCGAGCTCGGCGTCGTGCTCCGCCCATGTCAAGCGCTCTGGGACGCTCTGCGGCGTGAGGGGCAAGTTGTTGTTGTTGTTGTTGTTGAATTGTCAGCCTGAATCCACAAGCTTCCAATCCAGAGATTGCCGACTGAGCCAGGCTGACGTGCATAGTAATTACACTCCCCCACCTCCCCCCTCCGGCCCCTCCGGCCCACACACACACACACACACACACACACACACATACACAGACAGACACAGAGCGCTAATTGTGGATTTTGTAGTGAGACAATAGGCAAAGGCCGTGTCCTCACTCGTGATTCACTGAGTGAAGTAAACAGCCAGTCACTTGGCGGGTTGACAGCTATTACATGGGAAGGGCTTTGAGGCATTTCTGTTATCGATGCTATGTTAATAATAATCCGTGGATTTCATGCATTTGAAACAGCTGTGCCTTATCACGGCTGTTTGCTGGGGCACAAATCAGCCGCCGCCGCGCTCGCCCGCGAAACACACCCACAGCAACAACAACTTGCGTTGATATAGCGCCCTCCGTACAGGGCAGGGGCTCGGAGTTCTTATCCACAGTCACTACGGTGAAGCGCTTTGAGATGTCGCGAGGCCATGATAAGACGCTTTCTTTCCCAATCATTTATTATTAGGAATTAAGTGTGTGTGGGGGTGGGTGTTATCTGAGAGATACATAATTATTATTTGTAGTGAGTTATTAGTTTTAACACCTCTGTGGGTGTGTGTGGCCCTAATGGGTAATTATTATTAATATTAATAGTAAATTGTGAGCATATAAACCCTGTGTGTGTGTGTGATGACCTGACAGGTAGATTAATATTCATAGTAAATTGTTAGTGTATATACCCTACTATTAATCATATTTATTAATCAATTAATTCAGTTATACATTTATTAATATTTATTAAAAAAGCTGTTTTAAAACAGTTTTATAAATCCCAGTTATTACCTGATAGTTATTGGGGTATAAACCCCAGTGATTACTTGACAGTTATTGGGGTATAAACCCCAGTGATTACTTGACAGTTATTGGGGTACAAACCCCAGTGATTACCTGACAGTTATTGGGGTACAAACCCCAGTGATTACCTGACAGTTATTGGGGTATAAACCCCAGTGATTACTTGACAGTTATTGGGGTACAAACCCCAGTGATTACCTGACAGTTATTGGGGTACAAACCCCAGTGATTACCTGACAGTTATTGGGGTACAAACCCCAGTGATTACCTGACAGTTATTGGGGTATAAACCCCAGTGATGAGCTGAGTTATTGGGGTACAAACCCCAGTGATTACCTATCAGTTATTGGGGTACAAACCCCAGTGATTACCTGACAGTTATTGGGGTACAAACCCCAGTGATTACCTGTCAGTTATTGGGGTACAAACCCCAGTGATGAGCTGACAGTTATTGGGGTACAAACCCCAGTGATGAGCTGACAGTTATTGGGGTACAAACCCCAGTGATGAGCTGACAGTTATTGGGGTACAAACCCCAGTGATGAGCTGACAGTTATTGGGGTACAAGCCCCAGTGATTACCTGACAGGCCCCCGAAGGCCGCGGTCCCCGGCTGCCTGAAGGCCAGGCTCCAGCACAGGAAGGCCGAGAGCCCGAGCACCAGCCCCAGGCCCGAGTAGCCCATCTTCAGCCACATCCTACCGCCCCCCATCGCTGCACCGCCTCCGCACCCGACCTGAACCCCTGAGCCCCGGACCCGCCGAGTGACTGACTCGCGCGCGCCTCCACCCCGTGATCAGCCCCACACAGCACAGCACAGCACAGCGCCGCCCCCGGTGTGGAGGTCAATTACACCACAGCCTCAGCACAGCGCCGCCTCCGGTGTGGAGGTCAATTACACCGCAGTCTCAGCACAGCGCCGCCTCCGGTGTGGAGGTCAATTACACCGCAGCCTCAGCACAGGGCGTCAATGATGTATCATCTAATGATATATAATAATATATAATTATAATAAAACAATACAATGATCTAATAATGCTACACAATAGTAATCTAATCTGATAATAATATAATAATATATAATATTAACAATAAAATGATATAATAATATAATAATAATGATCCTTTGCATTTGATATAGCGCTTTTCACGTCTTCTCGACGTCTCAAAGCGCTTCACAGAACACATTGTAAAGTGAATTGACTGTACATTTGTGGGCGAACGCGGCAGCCAATTGCGCACAGCAATGTCCCACAAACAGTCGTGGATTGAAAATGACCAATTTATTATTGTTTTTGGTTTTGGAGGGATTATTATTAGGCTCTGTGTGGAGTAAGGAAACTTGCCCAAGGTTTCGCCCTCTGCCTGGAATTGAACTCAGGTCTCTCACTGGCAAAGCGAGTGCTCTCACCACTGAGCTACAGGACTCCACGATATAAAGCATATATCCAAGATATATAATATATAATATATATAATATATATATATAATAATAAAATATCATTCTATGATGCTATTTTGGGGAGGACAGGATTGCAGGGCTATGGAGAGACAGCGGGGCAGTGGGATTGAGTTGGATTGCTCCTTTCGGAGCCGGCGCAGAGGCGATGGGTCAAATGGCCTCTTTCTGTGCTGTATGATTCAATGATTCCGTGAATATAATATAATATATAATACACCACAAAATATACAGTCAACTCACCTCACAGTACATGAGGTGAAACACTTTTGAGACGTCACACGACGTGATAAGGTGCTGTGCGAGGATTATTATGATCATCATATTGTTAATAATTATTTACAGTCGGGGCTCTCTGACCAGAAGGTTTGGTGGGTTTGAACCCCCGGCCCCACACCTCCACCGACCCCCACCCGCCCCCCCCACACGCGGCCTTGGGGACGTGGAGGAGCTCGTTCAGAACTCCGCCGCCTGGACCAGACTCCGTCCCCACACCTCACCAGCTCCGGCCCGGGCTCCGCTTGGCTCCCCATCACCCAACGGGATCGACCTCAGGATCCTCTCCCACTCGTGTTCAAACCCCTTCACTCCCCGGCACCTCCTCCCCCCCCACTCCTTCCCTCTCCGGCCTCCTCGCTCCCCCCCCCCCAACCCACCACCCGGTATCAGCGGCACTGACCGGCGCTGACCGGCCTCCTGCTCGGCCCTCGTGCCCTCACCGTCAGAGGCCGCGCGTTCAGCCGCTACGCCCCGAAATTCTGGAACGCTCTCCCTCAGCCCCTCCGCCTCGTCCCCTCTTTCAAGGCCCGACTGAAAACCCTTCCTCTTCGGCCGTGTTACGGCCATCGCCCCCCACCCACCCCCCTCCGGCTCGGGGTCGGAGCTCCGCCACTGTTCAGCTCTGAGACGCTGCCCTGCGCGGAGGGGGCTGTGTAACTGCAAGTTGTTGTGGTCGTTGCGGCCCCTCTCCCCCTCCCCCCCCCTTTGTAGGGTTTCAGGATTGTGTTTAAGAGCTGGACCTTGTTGGACGGGGGGGTTTGTGTTTGGGGGTGTGTTTGGGGGAGGCCTGTGTTTAGAGGGTGTGTTTAGGGCCGAGGCCTGTGTTTAGGGGGTGTGTTTTGGGCCTGTGTTTGGGGAAGGCCTATGTTTGTCGCCGGGGCCTGTGTTTGGGGAAGGCCTATGTTTGGGGCCGGGGCCTGTGTTTGAGGGTGTGTTTGGGGCCGGGGCCTGTGTTTGGGGGTGTGTTTGGGGCCGGGGCCTGCGTTTGAGGGTGTGTTTGGGGCCGGGGCCTGCGTTTGAGGGTGTGTTTGGGGCCGGGGCCTGTGTTTGGGGGTGTGTTTGGGGCCGGGGCCTGTGTTTGGGGGCTGTGTTTGGGGCCTGCGTTTGGGGCCTGTGTTTGGGGCCTGTGTTTGGGGCCTGTGTTTGGGGCCGGGGCCTGTGTTTGGGGCTGTGTTTGGGGCCGGGGCCTGTGTTTGGGGGAAGGTGAGTGTCTGGAGGCGGCTCCCGGCGTCTCTTCGCTCCCGAGGCCGCGGTCCTGACGCGGGTCCCGGACTCGCGGCTCCGCCGGGCCCAGACCGCCTCACAGCCTCGGTGTTTCCTGTGGATAGAACCCGGGGAGAGGGACACAGAGAGAGAGAGAGCCCCAGGGGGTGGGGTGGGGGGAGACAGAGAGAGCCCCAGGGGGTGGGGGGGACACAGAGAGAGCCCCGGGGGGTGGGGTGGGGGGGAGACAGAGAGAGCCCCAGGCGGTGGGGTGGGGGGAGACAGAGAGAGCTCCAGGGAGTGGGTGGGGGGGAGACAGAGAGAGCCCCAGGGAGTGGGGAGGGGGGGAGACAGAGAGCCCCAGGGGGTGAGCGGGAGACAGAGAGAGCCCCAGGGGGTGGGAGACAGAGCAGAGAGAGACCCCATGAGGTGTGGGAGGGGGAGAGAACCCTAGGGGTTGGGGTGGGGGGAGGCAGAGAGAGCCCCGGGGGTTGGCGTGGGGGGAGACAGAGAGACCCCCAGGGGGTGGGGTGGGGGGAGACAGAGAGAGCCCCGGGGGTTGGGGTGGGGGGGAGACAGAGAGACCCCAGGGGGTGGGGTGGGTTGGGGGGAGACAGAGAGAGCCCCAGGGTTTGGGGTGGGGGGAGACAGAGAGCCCCAGGGCGTGGGGTGGGGGGGAGACAGAGAGAGCCCCAGGGGGTGGGGTGGAGGGGAGGCAGAGAGAGCCCCAAGGGGTGGGGTGGGGGTGGGGGAGACAGAGAGAGCCCCAGGGGGTGGGGTGGGGGGGAGGCAGAGAGAGCCCCGGGGGGTGGGGTGGGGGGGAGGCAGAGAGAGCCCCAGGGAGTGGGGTGGGGGGGAGACAGAGAGAGCCCCAGGGAGTGGGATGGGGGGAGACAGAGAGAGCCCCAGGGAGTGGGGAGGGGGGGAGACAGAGAGAGCCCCGGGGGGTGGGGTGGAGACAGAGAGAGCCCCAGGGAGTGGGATGGGGGGGAGACAGAGAGAGCCCCAGGGAGTGGGGAGGGGGGAGACAGAGAGAGCCCCGGGGGTGGGTTGGGGGGTGGGGGAGACAGAGAGAGCCCCAGGGTTTGGGGTGGGGGGAGCAGAGAGAGCCCAGGGGGTGGGGTGGGGGGGAGGCAGAGAGAGCCCCGGGGGGTGGGGTGGGGGGGAGGCAGAGAGAGCCCCAGGGAGTGGGGTGGGGGGGGAGACAGAGAGAGCCCCAGGGAGTGGGATGGGGTGGGGAGGGGGAGAGACAGAGAGAGCCCCGGGGGGTGGGGTGGGGGGGAGACAGAGAGAGCCCCGGGGGGTGGGGTGGGATGGGGTGGGGTGGGGGGGAGGCAGAGAGTGCCCCGGGGGGTGGGGTGGGGTGGGGGGGAGGCAGAGAGAGCCCCGGGGGGTGGGAGCGAGTGGCCCGGGGCTCGCCGTGTCCCCGGCGTCTCTCTCTCCGTGACCCGAAGGTGGATATTGCCGGCGGTGCTGACTGTGGCCGTGTGTTGTGTTTATCCCTCTCTGAGGTGTGTGTGACTCGGGCCCTGTGGGGGGTCACAGCGCTGCCGAGCGGATGAGTTCCAGGGTGTGGTACGTGATGGAGAGCGTTCAGAGCAAATACTCTCTGTCCGAGCGGCTCATCCGCAGCATCGCCATCCGCTCCTTCCCGCACGACAGCGTGGAGGACCTCATCAGAAGGGTTCGTACGCAGACCTCCCCCACCCCCCCACGTTCGTCCGCTCGCTCACTCTCTCACTCTCTCTCTCGCTGGTGAACGAAGATAATAATAATAATAATAATAATAATAATAATAATAATAATAATAATCCTTGCGTTTGATGTAGCGCCTGATCACGCCTTCGAGACGTCTCAAAGCGCTTCACAGGATGCACTGTAAAGTGTAGCGACTGTATTTTGTCGGCGAAACCGGCATCCAGTTGCGCACAGGAGTGTCAACAACTACAACAACAACAACTTGGATTTATATAGCGCCCTCCATGCCGGACGGCGTCTCAGAGCAGAGACCTGAAAATGTGTCCCGCAAACGGTCGTGGACTGAGCGACCAATTTATTATTATTATTATTATTTTTATTAGGATTGTAGGTTCAAGCCACACTCTCAGGGCTCGAGCTCACAGCTCAGTTTGACTGACAACACTCCAGTCTTGCGCTGCGAAGTCAGAGGCGCTGTCCTTTGTGGGGTCCCGTAGTTCAGTGGTGCGAGCCCTCGCCTCGCAAGCGAGAGGACCCCGGTTCGATTCCCGGGCGGGACCAAACATTGGGCAAGTTTCCTTACTCCACACACAGACACGCCTCTGTTTACCCAACAGTAAGTAGGAACCCGGTTGTCAGTGGATTAGCGGATGGCTTTTCCGGGAATAATAATAATTCCTTAAAAAAAAATGGGATCACTCAATCCATGACTGTTTGTGGGACGCTGCTGTGCGCAATCGGATGCTGCGTTTCGCCCACAAAATACACAGTCCCACAAAATTACAGTATATTCCGTGAAGCGCTTTGAGACGTCTCATCGATGTGCTAAGACGCTGGATTGAATACAAGGGATATTATTAAACCTCCCTGCGATTGTTGAGGTGGACGTTAAAGAGATGGGGCATTAAAAAAAAAGGGAGTTTCTCCCAGTGTCTTGCCCGACAGTCATAGAATCATAGAACCTTAGGGCGCAGAAGGAGGCCATTCGGCCCATCGTGCCTATGCTGGCTCTTTGGAAGAGCTACCAACTGGGCCCACTCCCCCCGCTCGTACCCCAAAGCTTCGCAAAGTTTTTCTTTTCAAGTACATATCCAATTCCTTTTGAAAGCTACAATCAAATCTACTTCCACCACCCGTTCAGGCAGCGCATTCCAGATCCGAACGACTCGCTGGGGGGAAAAAAATACGTCTCCTCCCCTCCTCCCCTCTGGTTCTTTTGGCAATTATCCTTGGAATAAATAATAATAATAATCCTTGCATTTGATAAGGTGCCCTATGGCCGTCTCAAAGCCCTGAGTTTGTTTAAACGGTGTTGGATTCCCACGGTAACTTGAGCGATATTAATGGTTGCTGTTTGTGTTGTTCTGCAGGGGGCGGACATTAACTGTATGCACGGCACTCTGAAGCCTCTGCATTGCGCGTGTATGATGGCCGACATGGACTGTGTGGAGCTGCTACTAGAGAAAGGAGCCGAGGTGTGTCCAGAGGAAAACCTTTACTAAACCTCTTGTGCTGTAGCAATCGTCACCTCTTGAGTTCAGAAGGTTGTGGGAATATAGGGTCAGGAGGAGGCCATTCAGCCCCTCGAGCCTGTTCCGCCACTCAATTAGATCATTGGCTGATCTGTACCCCAACTCCAATTAACCTGATCCCTTAATACCCCGACCTAACAAATATCTGTCTACATTTGGAATTGAGGTACAGGTCACCCGTGATCTAATAGAATGGCGGAGCAGGCTTGAGGGGCTGAATGGCCTCCTCCTGTGCGGGAGAATCTTCTGCACGGTATTCCCGGGCAGAGCGAAACATTAGGCAAGTTTCCTTGCTCCACACACACCGAGGAGTGAGCAGGAACCCGGTTGTTCGTCAATTGGCGGATCGCATTCCCGAGGGTAATTAACCCTTCAAAAGCCTCGCGCTGCCTCGTGTGTGTGTGTGTGTGTTTGTGTGTTTGTGGTGAACCTTGAGCTCTCTCTGTTGGCCGGCAGATCAACGCTGTGGACGGCTATAACCGAGCGGCCTTGCACTACGCGGCGGAAAAGGACGCCTCGTGTGTCGAGATCCTGCTAGAGTACGGCGCTGACCCCAACGCCCCCGACGGCAACATGGACACCCCCCTGCACTGGGCGGCCTTCAAGAACAACCACGAGTGTGTGCGGACCCTGCTGGAGAACGGGGCCAGGGTCAACGCCTTGGACTATAACAACGACACCCCCGTGAGCTGGGCGGCCATGAAGGGCAACCTGGACAGTGTCAGGGTGCTGCTGGAGTATGGGGCCGAGGTCAAGGTCACCAACCTGAAGGGACAGACCCCACTGTCCAGGCTGGTGGCCCTGCTGGCCCGGGGTCTAGGCACCGAGAAGGAAGAGGCTTGCTTCGAGCTGCTGCACCGGGCGGTCGGGCACTTTGAGCTGCGGAAAGCCGGCGCCATGCCGCAGGAGGTGACCAAGGACCAGGAGCTGTGCGTGAGGCTGACCCACGTCTGCTCCACACCCGGCTCGCTCAAGAGCCTCACCAGGTACCGCGTCCGGCACAGTCTGGGCATCCGGCACCTCCCAGCGGCCGTGAAGGAGCTCCCCCTGCCCGAGTCCGTCAAAGACTATCTGCTCCTGGTGGAATGAATCCGTCCGGCAGCGCAGCACAGGACAGGACAGGAACTGTCCGGTTTCTCCCCGAACCGTGCAGTGCGGGACGGAGAACGCTTCGGGGGGTGGGGATGGGGATGGGGGGGGTCATCGGCATCTCGCACGCCCACCGCTGATCAGCCACTGAGTGCCAGTTTTAGTGTCGCAAAGTCACCGATAAATTCGATACGAAATTATAGTCGAGATTCTGCTTGTAACTGCGGCTCAACTCGAGTCAGGAAAGAACGGTCTGCTTGTGTGACTTCATGGAGAGATGATCCATGTGTGTGTGTGTGTGTGTTTAAGCGTTACGATTTAAGTTAATCTGAGATGCTACCGTGCCTAAGGGGTGCTATGTAAATGCAAGTAGTTGTTTTTATATGTGTGTGTGTGTCTTTGTATGTGGTGCCTTGGTGTGTGTGTGTGTGTGTCTTTGTCTATCTGTGTGTGTCTTCGTCTGTGTGTCTTTGTGAGTGCGTGTCTATGTCTTTTTGTCTGCACATGTGTGTCTTTGTCTGTGTGTATGCGTGTCTTTGTATGAGTCTTTGTGTACGCGTGTGTGTGTCTGGTGTATATCTTTGTGTGTCTATTTCCCCTGAATCTCCCAAGGCAGAATGTCCTGCTCCCTCACTGGAGATCGTGTCTGTATCACTGTTAATGTTTTTCCCAAACCATCTCATTTTAATTAATCCCACTTCTTTCAGCCCTTGCCACGGTTCCCTTAATGCTTTCGCTGCTCAGAGGCCTAATATTCTTCCTGCTTATACCCAGGGACCGAAACAGGCTGAGACTGGGTGGAACTAAGGGGCTAAGATGCTCATCCAGGGTTTCTATTGATCGATTGCCAATCACAGCAAAGAATTCCGCAGTCTTCTAAGTCTTGTAAACTCTGTCCTTATCGTTGACAATCCTGATGCTCTGTGCATCTTTGTCACCCATTTCTCTCAACGCCTGACCCGCAGGACTTGTGTTTTTCTGTCGACTTATTGCGTCTCGACATCGCAAGGTTCTTTCACAGTCATTTAGCCGTCGAGGGCTGCGTCTGTCTTTCCTTGGCTCCCAGCGGTCGGTTTTTGGATGTCAAATACGCGAGGAAATTGCTTTACTTTTTAAGAGAATATGATTTATTTTTCGAAGGACGAAAGGAAGAGGCAAGCAGGACGAGAGGAAGAGTGAGAGAGAGAGAGAAAGTGCTTTGTGTAGTGAAAGTGCACTCGTGTCCTACAGACTGAGTATGAGCGAACAGAGACTGCCTCGCCTGGGCTGACCGCTTCTTGTAAAGATCAGTTTCCGGTGTTTGCTCTATGGTACGTGGGGACATGTCAGATACCTGAGATCTGGAACCAAAGGCGGGGGTGTGTGTATGTATCTGGGTGTGGGTGGGTGGGTGGGTGGGTGGAGGAACAGGACAGATGGATTATTCTTCCTTAAATCAAAAAGAAAAAGGGGGGAGAATTCTGCCTGGGAATGAAGTTTCCCCCAAATCTGCTGCGTCGCAACTATAACCGTCTTCCTCCGTGTTAAACCGTGGCTTTGTTCCTGTGGGGTTGACGCTGGCTGCTTCTGGGGTGGGTGTACGTGCGCGCGTGTGTGTGTGTTTTACTGCATTGTGACTGCACTCAATGTACTGCCCTCTCGAGGAACGCAACAGCAAAATGTCTTTGGCGGTTAAATAAACTGATTGAATACCGCAAAAAGGTGAACGAACCGATGTGGTCAGTCTGCATTTATTTGGGGGCAATTCTTTATTTCCGAGGGTGGGCTGCGACGCTGAACGTGAGAAGATCTCGTCACTTTCAGTTGCTGGTGAGAAGTCAACAACAACTTGCGTTTATATGTCGCGCCCCTTCACGCGAGGTAGCGTCCAGGAGCGCTCGACAGTGGCGGAGTCTGACACCGAGCCACGGGGGAGAGGGAGGAGGGAAATGACCTTAAGCACGATCAAGACAGGAAGGTCTTTCGGCGGGATTTGAAAGGGGAGAGAGAGAGGGAGGGAGGGATGGAGGGGCCAAGGCGGAGGGATTGAGAGAATTTCGGGTGGGGAGGGGGTGGTTGTGGCTGAAGGCACGGCCACCGATGGTGGAGCGGAGGGAACGAGAGACGAGCATTCCAATAGAAACCAGTTGTTAATCTGCTCCAAGGTCCATCTCAAGACCTATCTCAGGACCACATTGTGGGTCAACGTCCTCCCCATCCCCCCAATCAGTTCCTAACCCAGACCTGAAAAGCGCATTGGGATGGTCCTCGGTGTGAAAGGTGCTGTATAAATGCAGGTTTCTATGGCTGTGATCTTTGTCCATCAGTTATTTTCTGTCTTCACATTTGCGGCTCGGGTAAGTGAGGGATCCTGGATTGTGTTCCTCCGATGTATTCCCCTCCCTGACGCAGGAATAGCGAGTGCCTAATTGTACTTCAGCTGAAATTAGTAACTCAGCAGGGAACAGGTCTCGAACCTGGGGGTTATCACACGAGACCTGTAACCGTGAGCATCAGCCTTAAATCCGAGACTTCAGCATCGAAGACCCTCAATCATCTGTCCCAGAATAGCACTGCACAGAAACGGGCCCATTCGGCCCCTCAACTCTCTACCGGTGGATTTCTCTTATGTCAGCCGCCCGAGTTAATAGCAATAATAATCCTTGCATTTGATATTGTGCCTTATCACATCGTCGAGACGTCTCAAAAGCGCTTCACACTGTCGAGTGAATTGACGATATTTTGTGGGCGAAACGCGGCAGCAGTGTCCCAAAAACAGTCGTGGATTGAGTGAGCATATGTATTTCTGGAGGGTGTTATTACCCCCAGAAAGCGATCCGCAAATCGACCAACAACCGGGTTCCTACTTGCCGCTAGAAACGAGAGGCGTGTGTGCGGAGTAAGGAAACATGGCCCGGAAATCAAACCCAGGTCCTCTCGCTTGCGAGGCGAGTGAGCTAACGAGTACACTACAGGACTCCTACTTGCTTCCCTTCTCCCCAACCCCAACACGCACACGCGTTCGCTAATACTCCTCTTTATCAGCCGTCTTATTTTTTTTTACGGTTTTCAACGACCGTGTGTTCCGGGAGGTTTTAAAAAAGGAAAAAAAAAGAGAGAGATGAACGCTTTTTTTTTTAAAAGTTTATTCTGAGAATACTGTGAATTCAGGAAGAAAAAAAAAACGTGTGTGATGGCTCTGTACATTTGTACTCGGAATCTACAGTTCATCTTTAGGAATTTACATCATTTTACAATTAAAATCGGTTTTGCTCTCATGACGCATGTAGAACAGCAAACCACTATGCCGCTGGTGCTCGAAGGGTTAATCCCGTTGTTTCCGACACGTGATATTTTTCAAACCTTACATACGCACAAATCCATTCCATCCCTGGAAACATTTATATATATATATATATAAAAAATTGGCAAAACAAATCTACAATAATGTGTTACACATACACCTATTCTCTCTTTCATACTTGTAGTAAATTACGCTGTACTTTTTTTTTCCTCAGCCGGGTGTCGGACTCGGAATCTCCGTGTATAATAAATAATAATCATCCTTGCATTTGATATAAGCGCCTCGTCACGTCATTGAGACGTCTCAAAAGCGCTTCACACAATATAGTGTAAAGTGGAGTGACTGCTGTATTTTGTGGGCGAAACGCGGCAGCCAATTGCACACACGGCAGTGTCCCACAAACAGTCATGGATTCAGTAACCACATTTTCTTGTGTTTAAAGGGATTATTCCCCACGGAAAGCGATCTGCCAATCGAATGACAACCGGGTTCCTACTCACTGCTTTAAACACAGGCGCGCGTGTGTGTGTGAAGTAAGGAAACTTGCCTAAGGTTTTGCCCCGCCAGGAATCGAACCCGGGTCCTCTCGCTTACGAAGGCGCTAACCACGATGCTATGGGACTCCATGTGTAGGTGGGATGCATTGGCTTGGATACTCTTAACATGGTGATGGGTTTCTGTGCGTGTCAGACACCCGGCTGAATCCCACCACCACCCCCCCACCCCCCCACTACCAAAACGACTGACTAGCACCTGTCTAGCGCAGCAGGCAAGATGTCTGTGCGTCTGCATCAGCCTCACGACACGCGTCTGCAAAGCAGGAAGAGCTCTCGGATGGCAAACAAACAAAGTGCAGGGTTTTATTAGGCAACTCCGGTAAATTCACGATTTCGCAAAACAAAAAATAAGCCACGTTTTGAGAAGGAGCGAAAATTAAAGCACAGATTTAAATGTTTGACTTCAAAAGAAAAAAACAATGGTCGCAAACTTGATACTTGGTCGAATTCACACGCCGCTCGCTGGCGTTTGCGAAACAATACTCAGGATTGTTCTGATTGTCTGGATTCGAAGGTGAATTGCATTTGGCCACAGGTTAAGGTGCAGCAGGGAGCTTGGTGCTTCAAAGGAGACTTGGTGAACATTGAGAATAAAAATACTACAGTCTATAACCTATTACCTACAGTGTGCCACAGATGCAGGAACTTAGTTCTCTCTACATCTGCGTACACACACCCACGCGCGCGCACCCACGCACACAACCAAATATGCCCACAACGAAACACTCGCACGCATAAGAACAAAATACACTTTGTGGGAATAACAATAATAATCCTTGCATTTGATTGAGCGTTTTAATCACGTCGCCGAGACGTCTCGAAGCGCTTCATAGAATATACTGTGAAGTGAACTGACTGTGCCTCTGGTGGGCGAAACGCGGCAGCACAATCGCGCACAGCAGTGTCGCCCACACACACACAGCCGTGGATTGAGTGACCATTTTTTTTGCAGCAATTATTAACCCCAGAAAGTGATCTGCCAATCGACTAACAACCGGGTTCCTACTTACTGCTGGTAAACGGCGGCGTGTGTGTGTGTGTGTGGAGCAAGGAAACTTGCCTAAGGTTTCGCCCTGCCCGGCCGGGAATCGCACCCAGGTCCTCTCGCTTGCGAGGTGAGCTCTCTAACCACTCCCCCAAAATGATCATTTAATTTTCCGGTCTCCAAACCAGAACTGGTCCCTGAGTTAATCTGAGAGATTCCTCGGGACAATGTGTCTCGTTAGACCCACAGGAGAAGATTTGGATGAATCAACCGAAAAAATCCATACGTTTGATACAGTGCCTTTCATGTCAGGAGGACATCTCAAAGCCGTAGAGGAGGAACACGTTAGAGGAGCACACCGACTGACAAGACTGAGCGATGACTGGATTTCAGCCACACGGAGAAACGTGTGTAAGACTCTCAGCTGGAGTGTAACCAGCGCCGTTTATCAACTGGTTTAATTTGCACTGTTGCTGTGAAATACAAATGGTAAAGTGGGGCGAAATCCGAGCACCTCAGTGATTTTATTGATTGGGTGAAAAATGCTCAACTGCTGTTATTCACTGTTCTGAACAGCGAAGTGGAGGACAACTGAGTGCCTGACTTTTCAGACCAGAAATAAGAAATTTTTCACACACACAAACACACACACAATAGACAGAAGCAACTGATCAACCGACTGTTACATGTCACATCCCAGAACTCATTTATATATATATAATATATATATATTCCAGTCAGGTGGCAAACACACAGAGAAAAGCCAAGACACTTGGTTCTCCCCCTCTCCGGCACTGAGAAAAAATAAATCTCCCAACTCGAAAATTTATTAATTCACTTGTGACTATCTGTAATCTCCTGACTCTCGTGCGATATATTAACGTTAAAATATATTCAAACAAAGAGAACACTCGGGGTGAAATTTGCAGCCACACAGAACGCGTTCCTTGTGATCATTTTTATAATTCTTTCCTTAAATCAAACTGGGTGGAATTGGGAAACAAATAATAATAATAATAATCCTTGCATTTGATGTAGCGCCTTATCAAATTAAAAAAAAATTGGCTGCTGCGTTTCGCCCACAAAATATAGACTTTACAGTATATTCTGTGAAGCACTTTGAGGTGCCCAGAAGATGTGATAAGACGTTATATCAAATGCAATGATTATTATTATTATCACGGAGTTGAGACATCTCAAAGCGCTTCACAGAATATACTGTACAGCAAGAATTGACTGTGTATTTTATGGGCGAAATGCGGCAGTCAATTGCGCACAGCAGTGTCCCACAAACAGTCGTGGATTGAGTGACTGATGTTTTGTTTTCTGGGAGGGATTATTACCCCCCGGAAAGCGATCCGCCAATTGACTAACAAATGGGTTCCTACTTACTGTGGGGTAAACAGAGGCGTGTGAAGTAAGGAAACTTGCCAAGGGTTTCACCCTGCCCGGGAATCAAACCCGGGTCCTCTCGCTTGCAAATTCAATGCCCTGATCTACTGATCACACACTGATCTAGTGATCTCCCGACCTACACACACACACACACACACACCTAGACACACGATCAAAAGGAATGCGTTATGAAACACCACAAATTTCACCTTGACGTAGCAAACTATGTTTAAACCGGTATTTGAGCTTCACATCACACGACGATCAAGCCTATAAGGTCGCTGTGTTTGCAAGTGGTTTCAGGACTTCACCTCCTGCGCTGGACAGAAAGGATGAACATGATTTTATTGTTGTGGGGGGTGGTGGGGGGGGTGGGGGGGGGGGGGAGAGACAAACAGCCAGCTATGGATCTTTTAACAAAACCTTTTCAAATCAAGTTCGTTCTTGTTTTGTCAGATCTTTGTCGATAAAGATATTCACCGTGATTTGCGTTTTTAAAATCTGAAATCAAACTCCATATACAAAACTTCAGTTACAAAAATATTTTATATATAATATATATAATAGATATAGAAAGAGAGAAAACACAAAAGCCCTTTTCGCCACAGGTTTGCAGCAGGAACAATTTTAAAACGTCTAGATGTGTGCAAAATGTAGCTTTGCATTGAGGTTAGTGCATAAGTCTAATGTTAATGTTAAAAGCAAAGTTAATTCTTTTAATGTGCAGATGGTATAAAATTTAAGAAAAAAAAATAATTTAAGTTTGAAAATGTCCCACTGCTTCGCACGGAAGGTGGACTTCTTGCATCCTCCCCCCCCTCTCTGCTGCCCTTCAACCAAACCAGGGACACAGCTCAACAACAGTGAACCTCACAGAGACTTGCAGCTCTCAGCTTCTATGCAACGGACCGAGCCTTGAAATTCCCCCTGGTCTCGGCCTGCGAGATCATTTGGCCAACCTACAGCTAATACAATAAACTGCTGATAACTCAACAACAGATTTAACTTGTCACTACCATTTAACTCCTCGTGCTGTCAGTATCTCGGACATATTTATTTCTGCATGTCTACGAATGCCTAACTTGCTGCTAGCGATAATAATAATTATCCTTGCATTTCATACAGCGCCTCAACATGTCTTCGAGACGTCTCAAAGCGCTTCGCAGAATATACTGTGAAGTGACTGTGTATTTTGTGGGCGAAACGGAGTAGCCAATTGCGCACAGCAGCATCCCACAAACAGTCGGGGATTCAGTAACCAATTTTTTTTGGGGGGAGAGGGATTATTTCCCCCGGGAAAGCGATCCACCAATCGACTAACAACCAGGTTCCTACTTACCACGAGGTAAACAGAGGCGTGTGGAGCAAGGAAACTTCCCTAAGGTTTCAGCCCACCGGGGGAATCAAACCTGGGTCCTCTCGCTTGCGAGGCGAGGGCTCTAACCACTATGTTAGGGGCCTCGTCACTGAGCCCTTTTCCCTGGTAGTGACGAGTTATCAGGAGTTTACTGCGCTCTCTAGAATTAGGCAATCAGGGTGCGTTCCTTCAGGGAGAGTGAGAGAGCGCGTGTGCACATTCCATTCCAGACATGGGGAAATTTTCATGTAATGGCGCTGTACGTATGTGGAAGTTTGGAGACACTTAAGTAAGGCGATGGCTTTCTCCATCCCTCAAGATACTCGGCTGTCCAAAAATAGAAGACCATTTATCGTAAATTTTAAGGCAGTGCAGAGCCGAAATGTAGAATATTCTTAAATCCCGTCTGAATTTTCTTGTGAGGGAAGGAATTTGTAAGGGGTGAAAAAAAAACAGCTTCCAAATTCAGAAAGGAGTGAAGCATTCGACCCAATTCTGCATTGCGATAAATTTTTGAAGACAAAACGGTCTCTCAGGCTGAGACTGGGGGGAATTTGAGATTCAGGAACCCTCATGATTTTCCCGAGTGGTTTGTCTCTCCTCTCACTTCTGTTCAGCGGGATAACAATGGGAACGTTTCTAATCTATGTAACGCGAGTTAGTTCATATTTACATATGGGTAACAAAACAATACATGGAAATGCTGGAGCCTCCTATTTGTTTGGTAATTATAATAAAAATAATCCTCGCATTTGACACAGCGCCTCATCACGTCGCTGAGGCGTCTCAAAGCGCTTCACGGAATGCACTGTAAAGTGAATTGACCGTGTATTTTGTGGGCGAAACGCAGCGGCCAGTTGCGCGCAGCAGCGTCCCCTCAAACAGCCGTGGATTGAGTGGCCACATTTTTTTTAAAAAGGGATTGGCACCCTCGAAAAGCGATCCGCCAATCGACTAACAACTGGTTCCTACTTAAAACAGAGGTGTGTGGAGTAAGGAAGCTTGCCCAAGGTTTTGCCCTGTCCGCCCGGGAATCGAACCTGGGTCCTCTCGTTCTAACCAATGTGCTGCAGGACTCCACGTAATCCCGTTTTTACGTTAAGTACATTTACGAAACAATCTGTAAATGCAGCGCCTTGGGATGTCCTCCTGACGTGAAAGGCGCTATACGAATGTAACTTTGTATTGTATTGTAATATGGAGTAGACGGGAAAAGGCTGTATCTTTCAGATGATGAGGAGGTTCTCAGACCTCCGGTAACTTTCTCCTCTTCTGAAGGCACTCACGCTCTCACTGAGCACCCAGGATTTATGTGTGACTCTGGACAGTGAGTATGAGTTGGGGAAAAGACCTGTGGGGCATCGCACCCCCATTTTCATCCTCAGCGGACATCCCCCACCCCTCCCCTCCACACACACACAAACACATCTCCCAGCTGAGGGTCTCTCGACAGCGATCAGAGCAAGCACGCTCTGATCTTTTCATCCACAGGTCCACCCTCCCTCACCAAACGTCACTGAGCTCAACGCATCGCCAACCACTGCGGTGGACGAGATCGGTAACTGACTATCTGTAGGGCCAGTCTGGACCCGTGTGTTTCCCCACTCGGTCGTGGGACCTGCTACACAAACCAGGGCGTCTCCCGATCCAGGCTGGCACAGACACGGGCACAAGGCTGGCTGCCCTCACGTACCATGCTCCAGACTGCAAAGGAACTCTATTTGTTTTGCACCGCACACATCTTTGGTTTAGCACAGGTTTGCAGTGGAACAATTGAAATGCAAAACGCAACCGCATGAATGCAGCCTCGCCGACCCGCTGGGGGGTAAACGACCACCCCTCTGCTGCCCCCACCCCGAATACACCCAGCACGCATTGGATACAGAGTAAAGCTTCCTCTAACAGTCTCTGTCCAGCACTCCCAGCTCAGCTTCACGTGGGTTACATACAGAGGAAAAGCTCCCTCGACACTATCCCATTCAGAACTCGCAGGGGTTCACTGCAGAGTAAAGCGATCGCTTCTCACGACGAGGAGATATAACCTGAGCCAAACTCCCTATCCCAGCTGAGCACCATAAGGCCTGTGGAACAGTCTGTGGCTGAGGCTATTTCAACATTGAATACCACACAGTTCAGGTCTTGTATCAACCCAGAAAGGAGCCCCTGTTGGTTAGTAAGGAACAACGTTGAGAAATGTTCGGCTTTGAATTTGTTTGGAGATAATATATAGAAGATACGAAGGTCCATACCTTGCTCCTAGGGCCTATGATGAGGGCCCTGGGGATACTGACAGGCACCAGCCTCCAGCCCAGTCCCTCAAGCAATTGGGCTTAAACCTGCTAAGCTCTTGTTTCGAAGCGGTTTTGTGCTGGGATGAGGACGAGGAGATGGAGGAGGAGGTGGAGGAGGAGGAGGAGGAGGGAAGGAAGGAAGGGAGTGTTGGTCATCATCTGCCGGCAGACTGGGACTGTGTGGACATGATGACGTGGGGGTGGAGAGGCAAGTTCAGCTCTGTCCTTTGGTTGGCCATCTGGGTGAGGACGGAGGTGGCCACGGCCTCGGCTGCGGCCCTGGAGCTCAGGCCGTTGGTGGCGACGCCGTGCGAGCTGTGCTGGATGACGGGAGCCGGGGAACCCGTGGCTTCGGAGCTTTCCTTCGGGCTCTCGTCGGCTGTTGGCAAAGGAGGGAAAGACGTGAACACGCCGGTAGCTGCTTTAGCCCCAGATGCCGGGGAATAATAATAACCCTCGCATTCGATGCAGCGCCTTATCACGGCTTCGAGACGTCTCAAAGCGCTTCACAAGGATACACCGTAAAGTGTAGTGACTGTGTGTTTTGTGGGTGAAACGCGGCAGCCAATTGTGCACAGCAGCGTCCCCACAAATGCTCGTGGACTGAGCGAGCAAATTATTATTATTATTTTTTTGAAGGGATCATTACCCCGGGAAACGACTAACTACTGCTCGGTAAACACAGGCGTGCGCGTGGAGTGAGGAAGCTTGCCTAAGGTTTCGCCCTGCCCGGGAATCGAACCCAGGTCCTCTCACTTGAGAAGCGAAAGCTCAAACCACTAGGCTACAGGACTGGATAAGAGGTGCAAGGGAATTAGAGGCTCCCTTTTGATTTTGATTTGGTGAAAATCTTTTTTCGCAAACTGCAGCCTTATCGGAGGCCCAGAAACCCCACCCGTTTGTCTTCGAATCGCAGCAAATGATTCCATCCAATCCGCCTTTGGAAGCCGGTTTCTCTTCGCAAGGACCACTGAGGAAAAAATGGCGCGTCCACATCTAAATTTACAGCGCGGCTTTCGTGTCGGGAGGACGTCCCACGGTGCTCAACTACATCATAAAAACTTCGGGTTCTCACCACACCAAGGCTTGTCCTTTGACCAACCTTTAACCAGTTACTAAAAGCAACAGCATAATCCTAACGTTCCCCACCAAATGTACAGTCAATTTCACTCGATGCTGTAGTCTGAGAAGCGCTTTGAGACGTTTCAACGACGTGATAAGGCGCTGTGTCAAATGCAACACACAACTAATCAGTTATCCAGTGACACAGCACCTTTCACATCGGGAGGGTTCCTCAAAGCGCTTTATACAGCTGGCTGGGAGAGGGGTAGGCGAAAGAAGGTGGATTGGTGGGGAGGGGGAGAGATTCTATGACGGGAGATAAAATTCTACTTAAATTGGGATTAACAAGCCCTGAAAACATCAGCTCTATATTATCTATTAGGTACTAACTGAAGGGCAAAGGTTTCCCCACGCTGGTGCTATGCTGCTTTCTGCCATTAGTCGGCACTAAAAGCACACGTTTTTTTCCCCAGGACTGTTAACATCAAAGCCAAAGAAATCAATCTCTTACTCAGGGGATCTTTCCACCCAGCCTATCGTGTCACGTTTGCGCACAGATTGGACGCAGAGCAAAATTCCCCTCGACCCGATCCAATCCCACATTGCCAAGTCAGCACACACCAACAGTTAGCACTTCCATTGGGGGGGGGAAACGGCTCAAAGCGCTTAATTAACAGAGACAGAAACGGGAGACACAGGATTTAGGGAGAACTCTACAGAAACCATCTATTTCTTCTTAAATTTCTTCTTAGAAGTATAGAGCCTTGAAGCACAGAAAGAGGCCATTCGGCCCATCGTCCCTGTGTCGACTCTTTGAAAGACCTACCAACTAGTCTCATTCCCCCACTCTTATCCCATAGCCCTGCAATTTCTTCCTTTTTAAGTACCTGTCCAACTCCCTTTTAAAGCTAATATCAAATTAGTGTTCAACATAACTTCCTCACTCTCATACTCTATGCCTCTATTTATAAAGCCATAAATTCCTCTTCAACTGTGCCTAGTCACTGAATCCGCATCATGCTCCGCTACTGTCAAGTGCTCTGGGACTCTACCCCACATGAGGGGTGCTGTATAAATACAAGTTGTTGTTATCTATTCTAATCCCAGTTCCCTGTTGTTTTTCCATTGCCTCCAATGCCTTTCCTCCACGCAGCCTTATCCCTCCAACAGCCACAACCCTGGGCAACTCATTCCATACTCTGGGGAAACCGTTTTCCAGTTATAATCTTAAATTCCCTCCCTCCTGTGTTCTCATCATCTCCCAGTCGAAAGAACTGCTCGATCAACAATTAATTAAGGTTAAGTTTTATCCACACCTCCGCTCCCCTTTTTTGTCCCCTTCCCTCGATAATAATAATGAATAATCCTATTAATTTATTTCGGATTTATTGGCCAGGATGCCAGGAGAGAAAGTCTCTTCTCTTTTTGAATAGCGCCGCGGGATCTTTAACATCCACCTGAACAGCCAGACGGGGAGCACGGTTTAATATCTCATCTCCGACCCCCCAGCTTCAGCTCCCGCTGCCCCCACCGTGGCTCTCAGATGCCCAGCCAGCTGTGTAAGGCGCTTTGAGACGTCGTCCCAGGATGAGAGAAAGGCGCTGTGTATTGCAGCGAACGCAATACAATACAAAATGACATTTGTATAGCCCTGGATAGTCAGGGCTTGGACCCGAGTGGGGGTGTGGTGGGGTCGGGGTGGGGGGGATAAGGGAGGGTGGAGGGCAAGGAGGGTAGCCGAAGGGGCGGTTGAGGAGGGTCTTGACGTGGAAAAGGCCGGGGTCTGCCGAGCGGAGGGAGCGGATAGGTTGATCCGGACGAGGAGAGGGCTGTGCACTTACTGATGTATTCGTGTGTTTTCTTTTGCAGGGTCGTGACGGGACAGTCCTTGTGTGCGAGCAGGAGCTGCTTCAGCTGGGCCACTTCATTCCGCAAGATTGTCACCTCGTTCTGCAGAGGACGGAGAGAGACTCATTACAATCCCACTCCCCGTATTTCCATCCCCCACCCACCGACACCCACCCACCCACCCGCCCACCATCACTCGCCAGCAACACACACGCTGAGAAACATGACCAACTCTGTCTCTCTCAGCCTGGCTCAGCCAGGAGCACGCTTTACTCCAGGTCAGGAGGTTAATAATAATAATAATCCTTGCATATGACACAACGACTTATCACGTCTTCGAGACGTCTCAAAGCGCTTCACGGAATATGCTGTAAGGTGGGAGTGACTGCATATTTTGTGGGCGAAACGGGGCAGCCAAAGGCGCACAGCAGCGTCCCCACAAACAGTCGTGGATTGAGTGACCAATTTCTTATTATTATTTTTTCAAGTCCCTCCAACCCCCCCCAACCTCAAGGACTTTGAGCTCATGGTCTAGCCTGTCGCTCCAGTGAGGTACTGGGGGACGGAGAACGTTGTGCTTCTTGAGGTGCCATCCTCCAGGTGAGACTCTGTTCTCTTTCCAATGGCAAAACATTTAACGTCCAACTGAACAGATACAGTTTTTAATGTCTCATCCAAAAGATGGCACCTTCCACAATGCAGCCTTCCCCTCGCCCCACACTGGGTTGGAACGTCGACCTGGACTGTGGGCTCAAGGTCCCCTGTCGCGGGGCTCGAACCCACAACTCCTGACCCCGAGACATTGTTCATAGACACTGCATATTAAGGAGTTCAGCATTTTTCATTAGGTCAATGTCATGAGTGTACAGCGAGCGGGTGAGCGAGGTGGAGGTGGGGTGGGAGAGGGGGGGTGGGGTGTGGGGGCAGGAAACCGGCAACTCGTTCCGTTCAAGACCGAAGACTTTAACGGCCTGAAACAGCTCCTAATGTGCGCTAATTACCAACCAGAAGATATTTCACTTTTTATTCCGTTGTTTGGTTGAAGCCGCAGCCCAGCAAGTAGCCGGAAGGCCACATAAAGTCGCCATTAACAGCTCCAGGTGAAATTGAAACCCTCCCCAGTGCAAGACGGATGGTCTATTTGCATTAATATATTAATAGAGGGAGGCAGCTTATTAACTTCCCAAGGTAACCGGGCGCCTGCAGAAGCTACGTTCATTACTAGCAATTTAATTTTCTTTCTCTATTAAAAAATCAGCACGGCCAAGGGAGGAAGCGAGAGCAGAGATGATATTAATATTAATCAGCATCCTTGCATTTGATATTGAGCCTGCTCACATTGTCGAGATGTCTCGGAGCGCTTCACTGTAAAACTGGATTGACTGAATATTTTGTGGGCGAAGCGCGGCAACCAGTTGCGCACAGCAGTGTCCCCACAAACAGTCGTGGAGAAGAGTGACCGATTTTTTTTTATTCGGGTGATTGTTGGCCAGGACACCGGGGTAGAGAGAGAAACTCCCTTCTTCTTTACCATTAGGTGAAGAGACTGTCGTTTACGGGAGAGATCTCCACAACAGGCACGCAAATCTCTCTTCTCAACAGCGAGCGATTGCAATGTAAACCTGGTGCAGGGACTAGGAGAGATCAGGGCTCTTGACTCCCCCCACCTCACTCCCTCCCCTACCCCCACCCGTCGCTCCCCACCTTCCATCTGGTTGGAATTTGATTGATAAAAGGACACAGGATTGGTTTGGATGAAGGAGACCATTTAATCTCATTTTTCCAGAATCCCCGGCTCCCAACACAGCCTCAAGTTGCTTTTATAACGACAGTAATCCCTGCATTTGATACAGCGCCTCATCACGTTGTTGAGACGTCTCAAAGCGCTTCACAGAACACATTGTAAAGTGGAGTGACTGTGTATTTTGTGGGTGAAACCCGGCAGCCAAACAGCCACTGGAGTGTCTCACAAACAGCCGTAGATTGAGGGACCGCATTTTCTGCTTTTTTGGTGGGCTTATTACCCGTGGAAAGCGATCGATCCACCAATCGACTAACAACCGGGTTCCTACTTACCGGTAGGGAAGTAGAGGCGTTTGAAGTAAGATTTCGCCCTGCCCGGGAATCAAACCCAGATCCTCTCGCTTTTGAGGCAACAACAACAACAACAACAAGATTGCATTTATAGAGCGCCTTTCACGTCGGGAGGACGTCCCAAGGCACTGGACAGTTGGGTCGGGACCCGAGCATTGGGGGGAAATGGTCAGCGTGAGGGGAGGGAGGGAGGGAGCGAGGAGGGGGGAAATGGTCAGGGTGAGGGAAGGGAGGGAGCGAGGAGGGGGCAGAGAGTCGAGAGGTTGAAGAGAAAGGTCTTGAGACCGGCCTTGAAGGAGGAAAGGGAGGAAGCGGCGAAGGCACTGGGGGATGGAGGGCAAGTGCTCTAACCACTATACTAAGGGACTCACTTTTTCAAATGAGCTCCCAGTTTCCCGACCTCAACCACACTTTACCTCTGGGTAAGAAAACCTTCCTGGTGTCTGTGTGAAGTTGCCTTAGCAACTCTAACCCTGCGCCCTCTTATTCTACTGTCTCAGTGAGTCCCAAAAGTATTGCTCCTTTTTACAATCCCACTTAAAATTTTACTCACACACAGTCTCTCCCTCACACACACACCCACACACTCCCTCGCTCACAAGCACGCGCACACACTCTCTCCCTGACACACACACCCACACACACTCCCTCGCTCACAAGCATGCGCACACTCTCTCTCTCCGACACACACACCCACACACTCCCTCGCTCACAAGCACGCGCACTCTCTCTCTCCCTGACACACACACCCACACACTCCCTCGCTCACAAGCATGCGCACACTCTCTCTCTCCGACACACACACCCACTCCTTCGCTCACAAGCACGTGCACTCTCTCTCTCTCCCTGACACACTCCTTCGCTCACAAGCACGCGCACACTCTCTCTCCCTGACACCCACACCCACTCCCTCGCTCAAAAGCACGCGCACATACTCTCTCCCTCACTCACACACACACACACACAATGTGCCGGGAGTCCTTTAATTCCACTCTGCTTTTCACACATCGGAGGAAAGTGTCAGCTGGCTGTAAATCTGAATGAATGATGTGCTGCATTATGCTGCTTCCTGAAAAGTGAATGTCAAAGAAGCAATTATTCCGCATTTTCGGGGAGGCGATTAGTCACACCAGAGCCTCATCAATTAAGAATGCCCCGGCTGCCCAGCCTGCGCGCACGCCCGTGCTGAGACAGCAAGTGCGCGGATGAGGGATGGTCTCAGGCAGCCGCTTGCCACATTCGCTTCCCTCCCCGGCCCCCACGGCAGCTCGGGGGAGCTGTCACTCGATTGCAAATGGAAATCAGAATGGGTCTGTGCACCTTACGGAGACACTTAGCGTTATTTTAATTAACTTGGAATTCATGGGTGAGGAGCAGAGGAGAATCAGAGGCAAACCTCCCTGTCTCTCTCTCTCTCTCTCTCTCTGTCTCTCTCTCTGTGTCTCTCTCTCTCTCTTTCTCTCTGTGTCTCTCTCTGTCTACCCCCCCTCTCTCTATCTCTCTCTGTCTGTATCTCTCTCTCCCTGTGTTTGCTACATTCAGAATAAATCTACCGAAACACTACTTCATTCCGTGAGTGAGTAGTAAACGTATGGAACAGGCTCCCTCTTATCATATAATAATAATAATAATCCTTGCATTTGATATAGCGCCTCATGATGTCTTCGAGACATCTCAAAGCGCTTCACAGACAGACCAGGGAGACAGACAGACAGACACGCAAACGGTGGAAGCAGAAAATGTTGATTCTTTTCGAGACCAAATTAGATGGGTGTCTGCTAGGAAATAATATCCCTGGATTCGTAGCAATATATAGTTTAGGACACGACCTGTGCAAGTGACTGCCAGGATGCTGGAAGGCGAACTGGATAGACCTTGGTCTTCTTTCGCCAGCAAATTCTTATGATCTCAACAACAACAACTTGCATTTATATAGAGCCCCTCACGCTTGGTAGGGTCCCAGAGCAGTAAGTAGGATGCCCTCACCACCCTCCAAACCCCTCCGCAGCTTGTCTGCACACAAAGTGTTCGCATTTAACCTTTCCTTAGTCATACAGGTTTGAAAGGCAGAAGCGTGCAGTTCCTCAGGAAGCTGTAACTCCCTCCCAGCTGAAAGCCATTTGCTTCTCTACCTTCCAGAACCAATTACGCAGCTCATTCCCCCCTCCGCGCTCTTATTTCACTGCAGCAAAAGGCCTCAGTTCACCTGGCTATCAGTCACCGACCAGGCTTCCAGCCTAACCTGGCGAATCCGCAGTCAGTCACGTGATAAGTCCCCTCAGTGCAGGATGTTGCATTTTATTTTAATATAAATGATATAAAATGGTCGCCGGACGGCCACAGGGAAGTGTTGGGAGGAGGAATTCTCCCCGTCAGGACTGCACCAAGGTCAGGGCAAATTGCTGGGGATCTTAGGTGAAACCTTAGGCAGGTTTCCTTACCCCAAACAGCTCTGTTTACCCAGCAGTGAGTAGGAACCCGGTTGTTAGTGTTTGGCGAATGGCTTTTCCCGGGGTAATAAAGCCTCCAATGAAGAAAAAAATGTGGTCACGTCTTCATTTTGATAGAGCTCCTTACCACGTCTTTGAGACGTTTCAAAGCGCTTCACATTACACAGTGTAAAGTGGTGCGACTGTATATTTTGTGAGCGAAACGCGGCAGCCAATTGCGCACAGCGGCGTCTCACGAACAGTGGTGGATTGAGTGATCAAATAATTATTATTATCATCAGACGATCGCCGAAGGCAGCCGTGGCCCCTACCTGCAATTGCACGTTCATGTGTGTGAGCTCCTCGGCTTTCTTCTCCAGCGACAGGACCCAGACTTTCCTCTTCTGACGGCAGCGGGAGGCTGCAGCTCGGTTTCGCTCCAGAAACCTCCTGCGCCGCTCGTCGGGATCCTCCTCCGTCAAACGCCTGCGTCGTCCGGCCAGGCTCGGGGTGGGCTGCGAGGGAGAGTCCTCAAAACACACCCCACAATTACACTTCAGCAGCTTTTTTGCTTCGAGTGAAGGAGACGCACAATAGCACCAAAACATTCATATAATAATAGAGAATAATAATAATCCTCGCATTTGATACGGAGCCTTATCACGTCTTCGAGACCTCTCAAAGCGCTTTGCAGGATATATTGTAAAGCGGAGTGGCTGTATATTTTGTGGGAGATGCACGCCAGCCAACTGGGCGACCAAATCTTTTTTTTTGAGGGACTATTACAGAGGAACGGGATTCGAGGTGTGGGGGCAAAGGGCAGGGAGGGGTTTGGCATTAGGAGGGATGGCTTCTTGTGGAGGAGCAAACGGCGACAGAAAAAAAATCAGGGAACAAACACGGTGTCATATATTTCCATGGTACGACAGCAATAACTTGCATTTAATAGCGCCCGTCACGCAGGGTAGGGTCCCAGAGCACTTGACAGCGGCGGAGTCTGACCCCGAGCTAGGTGGAGAGTTGGGAGGGGGGATATAAACGGGGAGAAGGCTTCTTTGGATGCTGCACCCCTATACCGCTAACAAACACCCTCCTTACCATGTCTCCTTCTTCGTCTGTTTTCCATGTACAGCTCTCCGAGTCCACGTCCTTGTGCCCGAGGAGCAGAGAAGAACAAGACACCTGGAGGAGGAACAGAAACACTCGCCCGGTTACTGGTTTCTCTCATTTGCGCACAAATAACATATTGGCTCAGCAACGGACTCAGCCACTGTCTCTACACGTTACAGACAGGGCAGAATTAAGCATCGCGTTCGTAGGAACAGGAGGAGGCCATTCAGCCCCTCAAGCCTGTTTCACCATTCTATTAGATCGTGGCTGATCAGTACCTCAACTCTAATCGCTGACAACATCAGCATCCAAGGCCGCACTCTCCACCTCTCAAAGCCAGTCAGGAACCTCGGGGTTCTGTTCGACCCTGAGCTGTCCTTTCTCCCTCATATCCGCACCACAACTGGCACCGCCTTCCATCACCTCCGGAATGTCGCCAGACTACGGCACTACCTCACCCGTCACGCGGCTGAAACTCTGGTCCACGCCTTTATCACCTCAAGGCTGGACTATGGGAACTCTCTCCTCGCCGGCCTTCCCGGCCCTCCCTCCACACTGCAGGTCATTCAGAACTCTGCAGCTCGTATACTGTCCCGCACCAGACACCGCGACCACATCACTCCCACCCTCACCCTCACCCTCGCCCTCACCCTCGCTCGCCTCCACTGGCTCCCCATCCCCCAGAGGCCAAGATCCTCATCCTCACCTACAAGGCCATTCACGGCCTTGCTCCCTCCTACCTCTCCAACCTACTATCCCCCTCCCTACCTGCCCGTACCCTCCGTTCCTCCGGCTCCGGTCTGCTCCGCATCCCCCGCCCCAACCGCCCTACCATCGGTGGCCGGGCCTTCAGCCTCTCAGCCCCTAGGCTCTGGAACTCTATCCCCCAGTGCCTTCGCCGCCTCCTCCCTTTCCTCCTTCAAGGCCGGTCTCAAGACCTTTCTCTTCAGCCGTGCCTTCAGCTCCCCTCTCGACTCTCTACCCCCTCCTCGCTCCCTCCCTTCCCTCCCTCACCCTGACCATTTCCCCCCAATGCTCGGGTCCTGACCCAACTGTACAGCGCCTTGGGACGTCCTCCCGACGTGAAAGGCGCTCAATAAATGGAATCTTGTTGTTGTTGTTGCCTGCCTTTGCCCCCGTATCCCTTGATCTCCTGACCCAACAAATATCTATCCATAAATGTGAATGGATCCAGCCATTCACTTTTGGGGGAGAGAGAGAGGGTTCCAGTTTCCCACTCCCCTTTGGGTGAAAAACTGCCCCTTGATTTCACTCCTAAATGGCCTGGCTCTGATTTTAAGATGATGCCCACCTTGTTCTGGACTCCCCCCCCCCACCCCCCCCATCACCCACCAGAGAAAATAGTTTCTCTGTGGCTACTCTATCGAATCCCTTTATTATTTTCAACAGCTCAATCAGATCAGCCCTCAACAACAACACATGACATTTACATGTGCCTTTCATGTGGGGAGGACGTTCGAAGGCGCTGGACGGTCAGGGATTTGGACCCGAGCTGGGTCCCTTACCTGTGGCTGAGAAGGGGATGGTGCTGCCGGGGACAGTGTGCAAACCTGGCTTGGTTCGTGCTGGGAGGTCACCATACTGAGCGGCCCAACAATCATACCACCGTTCAGCACAGACTGGCCCTGATGTGATAGCACAGCTTTCAACCTCTGCGGGAAAGAAAAGATCAAACACTACATATAATAATAATAATCCTTACATTTGATATGTTATCACATCGTCGGGACATCTCAAAGCACTTCACAGAATATATTGTAATAATAATAATCCTTTCCTTTGATATCGCGCCTTTTTCAAAACACTTCACAGAATATATTGTAAAGTGTAGTGACTGTGTATTTTGCGGGCGAAACGTGGCAGACAATTATGCAGAGCAGCGTGGATGGAGTGACCAATTTTTTTTTCAAGGGATTATTAGCCCCGGAAAAGCGATCCGTCAATCGACCAACAGTTCCAACTTACTACTTGGCAAACGGAGCTGTGTGGAGTAAGGAAACTTGCCTAATGTTTCGCCCTGCCTGGGAATCAAACCTGGGTCCTCTCGCTTGCGAGGTGAGCACTCTAATCACTGAGCTACGGGACTCCACACCTTAACCCCTTTTAAATGTGCAGACAGATTTGTTCTCTGTGTGGAGTTTGGTGGCCGTTTAGTTTAGACAGTCAGCTTCTTTTGAACAATAACAAGAAGAAGATTACATTTGTATAGCACCTTTCACATCGGGAGGACGTCCCAAGGCGCTGGACAGAGAACAACACTTCACACCTGAGCTGGGGTTGGGGGGGTAAGGGTGGGGAGAGGAAGGGGGGTGGCTGATGACCTGGTCGAAGAGGAGGGTCTTGAGGTGGGACTTGAAGGAGGCTAAGGAGGGGGTGAGGTGGAGTGACTGCGGGATAGAATTCCAGAGGTCGGGGGCCGAGTGGCTGAAGGCTCTCCCGCCAATGGTGGGGCGGGGGACGTGGAGCAAGCCAGAGCCGGCTGAGTGGAGGGAATGGGTGGGTTGGTAGGGGGTTAGGAGGTCATAGAGGGGCGAGGCCATGAAGGGCTTTGTATGTGAGGACCAGGTTCTTGAACTGGATCCTCTGAAGGATAGGGAGCCAGTGGAGTCGGGCGAGAGTGGGGGAGATGGGGTCACGGAGTTTGGTGCGGGAGAGGACATAGGCTGCAGAGTTCTAGATTATCCTATATATTATGAACAAGAAGACTGCTTGCTGCTAATCCAGCTGGGCAATAACACGATGCTCTGAAATCTCACCAGTTTGGCTTCTGACTGAACCAGTTGGGGAGAGGGTGATGGAGGCCCACTGCTGTTTACTGGAGGTCCTGGAATTCCAGGAATATTTGGCACCATGGAGGCAGGCCGAGCGATCTAAATACGGAAGCGAGGGAGGAAAGAGGAGGCATAAATAACCTGAAAAAGAACATTCCCTCACAAACAATCGCTGCACAGTTAATCTTGGAACACTGTTTAGATCAGCTTAAATGATGCCAGATAAGACATCCCCACACACACACATACAACCCCTGACATATCATGCTCACACATACAGACACACACATTCACACACAGGCAAATACAGACAGACACACATTCATGCACATGCACAGATATAATCACGCTCACACATACAGACACACCCAGACAAATACAGAGACACACACACTCTCACACGCGCACACACACACACATATACAGATAAATAGACACACATACAAAGATTCACTCACGCACACTCACACACACATACTCACGCTCACAATTACAGACACGCAGACCAAAATACACTGACAGACAGACACACACACATACACTCACGCACACATACATATGTCCACACAGACATAGAGAGGATCGTTCCAGTTGGGATCTGTGTGGAGTTAATCAAAAAATTAACTATTTGGGCCGTACTGCAGCATCGTTGGATGTGATCCATTAACAATTGTTTTCAGCCCAGATTTTCTGATCTGTGCCCAATCTACAGGAGTCAGCTTGACAAAGGGAGCGCGAAAGAGAGACATAAAGAGGGAGACACAGCCATAGTGGGACGGGGAGAGAGAGGAGAGTAAGTGAGAGAGACATGCACATAGAGAAAGTGCAAGAGAGAAACATACACAAAGAGAGGATTTTGGAGGCAGCAGGCTGGGTTTATTGAACGCCAAGTCCCAGAGGCTAATACACAGACTTGGCCATTTCCCATGGTGTAACGTTGCAGTTCTGCGCAGTGATAAGCCCTCAAGAGAACCGTGTAAATACTAAATCTCCGTCTTACATGACAGTGACACTGCAACACTTCAGTTTACTATATACAGAATCCCAGGCACTCCACACAGGTATTTTCTGGTTTTGCGCCCGTTAATATCAATATTCATGCATGAACACCATTAAAACATCGCGACAACAAACACAATAATCAGGGCGATTGATTAGCCGGTCTACATGGCATTCGGCCACATCATCTCCTCAGGCAATCAGAGAGAAAGTGAGAGAGTGATAGAGAGAGATAGAGAGAGACAGAGAGAGAGAGAGAGAGGGAGGAAGAAACACATAAGCAGAGACAAACAGAGAGAAAGAGAGACATAGGGAGAGAAACAGATAGCCAGAGGGAGTTAAGCACTCCCGGACACTACGCCACGTGATGGGCATTATACACAACAACAACTACAAGATTTCATTTATAGAGCGCCTTTCACGTCTGGAGGACGTCCCAAGGCGCTGTACAGTTGGGTCAGGACCCGAGCATTGGGGGGAAATGGTCAGGGGGAGGGAAGGGAGGGAGCGAAGAGGGGGTAGAGTCGAGAGGGGAGCTGAAGGCACGGTCAAAGAGAAAGGTCTTGAGACCGGCCTTGAAGGAGAAAAGGGAGGAAGCGGCGAAGGCACTGGGGGATGGAGTTCCAAAGCCTCGGGGCTGAGAGGCTGAAGGCCACCGATGGTAGGGCGGTTGGGGCGGGGGATGTGGAGCAGACCGGAGCCAGAGGAACGGAGGGTACGGGCAGGTAAGTAGGGGGATAGTAGGTTGGAGAGGTAGGAGGGAGCGAGGCCGTGAATGGCCTTGTAGGTGAGGATGAGGATCTTGAATTTGAATATAAATACGACATATATACAACATATAAATGTTGTTGTTGTTGTGGTTGTTGACTTACATAGAGAGAGCGACGGAGAGAGAAACACAGAGAAACTGAGAGAGAGAATTGGAAGGGAGATACAGAGAGACTGAGAGCGCACAAAGAAAGAGAGAGGGACCGAGAGGCAAAGAGAGAGAGACAGAGGGAGAAAGAAATGCATAAGCAGAGAGTGAGAGACACAGAGAGCAAGAGAGAAAGAGTGGCATAGATACAGAGAGACAGAGAGAGGGAAGAGGGCGAGAGACACAGAGAGACTGAGAGCACGCAAAGAAAGACAGAGAAAGCGAGGGACCAAGAGACAAAGGGAGAGATAGACAGACAGGTAGACAAGACAGACAGACATGCAACAACAATAACAAATAACATTTACTGAAAGCCTTTCACATCAAGAGGACATCCCAAGGCACTGGACAGTCAAGGATTTGCTGGGGGTGGAGGGGTGGAGGGTGGGGGTAGGAGGGTGACCGAAGGTGCGGTTGAGGAGGAAGATCTTGAGGCGAGGGAGGGGGACAGATACAGACACACAGATACCTAAATCACCGGTAACAAACTTACAGATATAACGGTGGGCATCTGAACAGTGGGGCTGCTGAGGTTGCTGGGGATGTTGACAGGCATCGTCTGTCCATTGGGAAGATGCAACAACACAGGCACTGGGCCAGTGGGTGACCTGAGAATAGAAACAGCCGGAATCAGTCTGACTCCAGTGACAATACTCACCGCCGCAAAATACATTTGTTAAACGTTAGGCACATTTCCTTACTCGCCCACACAATATACAGTGAATTAGATTTACAGTATATTCTGCGATGAGCTTTCAGACATCTCAAAGATGTGATAAGGTGCTATACCAAACGCAAGGATTATTACTGAGGTGTGGAGTCCTGCAGAGCACTGGTGAGAGCACTCGCCCCGGAAGCGAGAGGACCCAGGTTCGATTCCCAGGCAGGGCGAAACGTTGGGCAAGTTTCCTTACTCCACACACCTCTCTTTACCTAACAATAAGGAGGAACCCAGTTGTTAGTTGATTGGCAGATTGCTTTCAACCCCAAAAAGAAAATAATTGGTCACTCAATCCACGACTGTTTGTGGTGACGTCTAATTCACTGCGTGCAATTGGCTGCCATGTTTCGTCCACAAAATATACAGTCAATTCACTTTACAGTATATTCTGTGGAGCACTTTGAGACGTCTCAACGACGTGATAAGGCGCTAAATCAAATGCAAAGATTATTAATATTATTATTCATTCATTCCTCCAAGTTTTTTGCTGGGTCAGTAGAATTGTTCAAGAGGGAAGTAAGCATTGAGCAGTAAAAGTATTGAGGGATGTGGGGAGAGAGCTGGAAAGTGGGATTGATAATAAAGAGTAACTTTATTACAGGATTTTCACCCAAAAGGGAGTGGAAATCTGGAACTCCCTGCCCTAAAAGGCTGTGGATACTGGATCCATTCACATCACAAGACTGAGGTGGATAGATATTTGTTAGGTCAGGGTATCAAGGGATACTTGAGGTGTAGATCAGCTATGATCTTATAGAAAGGCGGAACAGACTCGAGGAGCTGAATGGCCTTATCCTGTTTCTAGGAATGTTCAAACACGATGAGCCAATTGGCCTCTTTGTGTGATGAACAATGATGAATAATAATCCTTGCATTTGATGTAGCTCCTTATCACATCACTGAGACGTCTCAAAGCGCTTCACAGAATATACTGTAAAGTGAATTGATTGTGTATTTGGTGGGCGAAATGCGGCAGCCAATTGTGCACAAACAGTCGCGGATTGATTGACCAAATTATTATCATTTTAAATTATTTTTTGTATTTCTTTGTGCCACACAAGACGGTGGGATTCATGCACAAAGCATTTGGGGGGGGGTTGGGCAACGTTTTATTTATGAGAACCGTCTGCCTGACTGATGTTAATTATGAATGCACCTGATTGTGTGTCTGGCTCACCTGAAGCACAAACCTATCAGGTTTCTTGTGAAGATGCCATTCCATGTCAAGGAAGCTACTACTACTAATAATAATGATCCTTGCATTTGATATCGCGCCTTATCACGTCGTCGAGACGTCTCAAAGCGCTTCACAGAATATACTATAAAGTGAATTGACTGTATATTTTGTGGGTCAAACGTGGCAGCCAATTGCGCACAGCACAGTCCCACAAACAGTCGTGGATTGAATGACCAAATTATTGTTAGATTTTTAATTAATTTTTTTTGTGAAGGGATTATTTTCCCCGGAAAAATGATCCGCCAATTGACTAACAACTGGGTTCCTACTTACTGCTGGGTAAACAGGGGTGTGTAGAGTAAGGAAACCTGCCTAAGATCAGGAGTGATAGAGGGCAGGGAGGGTGGAGGGGAGGAGTGTGACTGAAGGTGCGGTCGAAGAGGAGGGTCTTGAGACGGGCCTCGAAGGAGGCGAGGGAGGGAGTGAGATGAAGGGACTATGGGATGGCATTCGAAAGAGTGGGGGCAGAGAGGCTGAAGGCCCGACCGTTGATGGTGAGGCGGGCAGGGCGGGCGAGGGACATGGAGCGGGCAAAACAAATCAATCTGACACTAACTCGCATCCCTTTGGGAAACCATTGGACACACAGAAACCAAACCACATCATCGTAATAATCCTTGCATTTGCTACACTGCCCTTAATGTTGAAACATCTCAAAGTGCTTCACAGAGATTGTTCTCAAATCTAGTGGCTGTGTGTTTTGAAGGGAAATGCGGCAGCAAGGTTTGTGTTGTCCAGAGCAGTGGATTGAACCAGAGGACACGACCTGCGATTGAAGGGCGGTAAATTCAAAACAAATCTGTGGACACACATATTTCAGTCATCGAGCAGCAAATGTATGGGAAAAACTCCCTAGGGAGACGAAGGAAGCAGACGGTGTTGATTCTTTCTAAAGCAATTCAGATAGATTTCTTTTAGGAAATAATATCTTGGGATACAGTATATAGTTTGGGACATGACATATGCAGGATGGCGGGAGGCAAACTAGACCCTGGTCATCCCTCCTCTAGCAATTCTCACGTTCTTATGTTCTTTGTGCACATCAAAGACCCACAAACAGCGATGAAGTGAATGACCGATTTATTTAGACGATTGTTGGCCAAGACACCGGGAGAAACTCCTTTTCTTTTCTTAGGGTTTAGCGAGATCTTTATAATATCCACCTGGACATGCAGGTGGGACCTTAGGTTAACATCTCAACCGAAGGACAGCGCCTCGGACAACGCAGTGCTACCCCCCAGTACTGCACTGGAATGTCAGCCCGGGCTGTCAGCTCGAGTCCCAAACTTGCTGGGACTCGTGCTGCAAACTGAGCCAAGCTGATCCATGCTTGTACGTGGTTCAGAGTCCAGTAGCACAGTGGTTAGGGCACTCGCCTCCCAAGCGAGGCGTTCTATTCCCAGGCAAAGCGAAACATTAGGCAAGTTTCCTTTATCCCACACGCCTCTGTTTACCAGCAGTAAGTAGGAACCTGGTTGTCAGTCGATTGGCGGATCCCTTTCCGGTGGTAATAATCCCTCAAAAAAAAATTGGGTCACTCAATCCACGACTGTTTGTGGGACACTGCTGTGTGCAATTGGCCGCCGCGTTTTGCCCCCAAAATAGAGTTAATCCACTTTACAATGTATTCTATGAAGCGCTTTGAGACGTCTCAACAATTTGGTAAGGTGCTGTATCAAATGCAAAGATTATTATTATTACAGAGCGAGCAATTGCCTTGAGATTCTGAATGGAGTTGTTTATTTGCTCCATTCTTATATAATATACCTAACAACCGGGTTCCTACTTACTATTAGGTAAACAAAGACATGTGTGTGGACTAAGGAAACTTGCCTAAGGTTTCGCCCTGATTCGCACGGGAATCGAACCCGGGTCCTCTTGCTTGCGAGGCGAGCGCACTAACCACTACTCTGTGCGACTAGGATCTTTGAAAAGAAAGATAAGTTACAAAGATAAGGCAAAATTGCCGGCCGGTTACTCACGCTAATGTCCTGTTGGATGGGGGCGTCGGTGTGATAACGGAGGTCGGAGAAGGCAAGGTGGGCTGCAGAGAAGGACTGTTGTCATACGCCAAGAGAAGGGTTCCAGGACGCACAATGGTAGGCGTTGTGTTCCCCGTGTGTTTTGGAGGGATGCCCTGAACACATAAAGCACAGAAAGCACTTCAGTAACAAGTAGTAACAGCAAGAAGGAATTTGCATTTATTTATAGGACCTTTTTCTTTCTCCTGGCTGTAAAAAAAAACTGCCACGTCTGCCTACAAATACACAGTCACTACACTTGGCAGCAGTTTACCCCGTGGAGCGTTTTGAGACTAGAAAGTGGGGCTGAATGGCCTCCTACTGTGTGTATGGTTGTATAAAGCGCTGTGTCAGATGCAAGGCCTGGAAAGGGGGACAGACCTCAGGGGGTTAATGTCAGTCAGACACCAAACTCGCAGCTGTCAGGAGAGTTGGTATGAACCGATTTAGGAGCAGTAATTCTCACCTTCCCTCCTGAGCTCTGGACTGTACGAGGGGCAATGGGTAACCACAGGCTGACGTCTCTTGTGAAACACAATCCTCCTCTTTAATTTTAACCTCTGGGCTGGATGGTAAGGACATATCCAGAGGGGACTGATAAGGAAAATAAAGGGATCTCATTAACTAAGCCAGTTTGTCTGTGTCTCTCTTCCAGACTGGAGTGGTGAGCCATCGAAACGAAAGACAATAGATGTTTGGAACTGGGTTTGAGTCTCTTGTCTACTCCGCACCACAGTTCTCTGCCGTTCAGTCTCTTGGAAACAACTCATGTCCTTCATCCTGTGACAGATCGTTTTCCCTGCAAATGTTTAATTGCGGCAATTGCCTGAATTCAGTTTTCTTTTTCCTTTCAAACCAAGGAAAACCCGCGTCCAAGTTACGACTGGGTTGAAGAATGTTCCATAATTCAGCGCCAACTTAAATTTCAAGGCAAAATGTTGTCCCCGGGCTAAAAGTGAGTGGAGTTGGGGAGGGGGGGGGGGGGAGGAATCTACGATGAGGGAATCAAGGCGAAAGAACCAAACATTGGGGTAAAATGGAACCACAGAGAGAAAGAATGAAAGAGAAAGGGAAAGAGAGAGGAGGAATGAGAGAAGGTGTGAAAGGGGGAACGTGAAAGGGGGAATCGATTTCATGATCCTCTCTCTTCTGCAAATCCCTTCGCACCCTGGCGACTCTCTACCTTTCTGACCACCTTTCTCCCCACTCCACTACCCGCTGCCTCCGCTCATCTTGCTCTGACCTCCTGCTAGTCTTTCGTCCCCTCCGTTCTATCATCAACGGCCTCACTTTCAGTCACTAACCCCCGAAGCTTTGGAACTCTCTCCCCCAATCCCTCCGCCATGCCCCCTCCTTCCCCTCGTTCAGTTCACCACTGAAGACCTTTCACGTTGACCGTGCCTTGCCTTCTCCCTCCCCCGGCTCAGAGTCGTGCTCCACCACTGTTAAGTGATCTGAATCGAAGCCAAGCAAGAAGGGTGCTATATAAATGCAAGTTGTTGTTGTTGAATGAGATGGGGAATGAGAGAGAGAGAGAGAGAGAGAGAGAGAGAGAGATACAGAGGGAGAGCTTAATACTTGCATGTGACACAGCACCTAGAATGCCCAAACATCTCAAAGCTTTATATTCAATTATACTGAAACTAATTACTCATGAGTGTAGTGACTGTGTATCTGTAGGGGAATGTGGCTTCCCGGTTTAATCACGGCAAGATCCCAGACACCAAGTGAATAATAATAATAATAATCCGTGCATTTGATATAACGCCTTATCACATCGTTGAGACATCTCAAAGCGCTTCACAGAATATGCTGTAATGTGGATTGACTGTGTAATTTTGTGGGCCAAAGTGGCAGCCAATTGAATGACCTATTTATCTGGAGGATTTTTAGCCAAGACACCAACAACAACAATTTGTATTTACACAGAGCCCTTCACGTGGGGTAGCGTCCTGAAGCGCTTGACAGTGGCGGAGTCTGATGCCGAGTCAGGGAGAGCGGGAGGGGAGGGAAGTGACCATAAGCATGAGCCAAAAGGAAGGTCTTTAGGTGGGAGAAGCTAGCTCCCTTTTCTTTTCCAAGTGTCACGGGATCTTTAACGTTCACCTGATCAGGCGCAGGCAGACTCCTCCAATGAACGGCGCCTCTGACAATGAGGTGCTGCCTTTAGCATTGCATCGGAGAGCAAGGCTACACAAGATCTCCTCTGCCATTGCTCCAATGTACTCGTCAACCGTGAACATCAAGAGGGAAGTAGGCTGTGATCCCTTCACCCCCGCATCTCAGCCAGTATTGGAAATGTGATTGATTTGATCTCTGTGGTATCTATAATACAGCCAGAACATTTCCCACAAGCAGGATGTCCATCCTGATTCTCTATTTGATCAAACGCTGCCCAAAACAGCAGGTAGACAAGTATCTTTTACCAACCGTTGTCTGACACACAGGGAAACCCATCGCAATGCTTTAAGAGCCTCCGAGCCAAACTACTGAACGTGGTAACGGCCACTTGGCTTGTGCTAAGCAAACAACTCTTAGAATCAATGTTAAAGGTCGGAATATATCTTTCTCCATGAAGACTTTCCCTTTCCTCCCCCCCGAGGATTAACGTTCTGTCTTCAAAACACGCAATGTTCCCACAGAGGATGGAGAAAGAAGTGAGGCACTGAACAATAATAATCCTTGCATTTGATACAGCGCCTTATCACATCTTCGAGACGTCTCAAAGCGCTTCACGGGATATACTGTAAAGTGAATTGACTGTAAATTTTGTGGACGAAACACAGCAGCCAATAGTGCACAAACAGTTGTGGATTGAGCGACTAAATTTTAAAAAATTTATTTTGTTTTTGAAGGGACTATTACCCCGGAAAGTGATCCGCCAATCGAGCAACAACTGCGTTTCGACTTTCTGCTAGGTAAACAGAGACCTGTGTGTGGAGTAAGGAAATTTGCCTAGCGTTTCACCCCGCACGGGAAACAAACCCGGGTCCTCTCGCTTACGAGGTGAACGTGATAACCACTGCGCTACAGGGCTCCACAAAACATTCACGCAGCTTATTTTTCTCCTGAAAGAAACATCTCGAAGCCTCTTCTTAAAAAGATACTGCAGAAAACCAGCTTCTAAATGAAAGACCGAATTGAGAATATTCTGCAATCCTGCCTCCAGTTATCCTTAAAAATAAAAAATTCTTACACATCGAGATAAGGTGGAACTTTGGGTGATTTAGTAACAGAAGTAGCAAGGCCAAAACCTCCAGAGTGGCCTCTTTCTCTGCTGTATATTTCTATGTGTGTAAAGATACTGAGGCAGCAAGGGTATTAAAGGATGTGGAGACAAAGGGAAATGGGATTCAATGGGATCCTTGACTTCAAAGCTCTCCACGCCTTGCTCCTTCCTACCTTTGTGACCTTCTAAACCCAGATCAACCTGTCTGCTCAGCCGGCTCCGGCCTGCTCCACGTCCCCATAGTTTGAGGTCGGGCCTTCAGCCCCTCTGTCCCCACTCATTAGAACTCCACCCCACAATTCCACTGCCTCGCTCCCTCCCTCCCTTGCCTCCTTCAAGGCACGTCTCAAGACGCTCCTCTTCGACCGCGCCTTCGGCCATCATCCCACCCCTATCCTCCCTGCCTTCCACCCCACCCTGATCCCAATCCCACGCTCAGGTCCAAATCCCTGACTGTCCAGCGCCTTGGGACGTCCTCCCGACGTGAAAGGTGCTGCGTAAATGTCATTTGTTGCTGCTGTTGGAAAGATCTGCCGTGATATTGTGAACCAGTGCAGAGGCTTGACGGGTTGAATGGCCTCTGGCTCCTCTGTTCCTAACCTTTTTACTGTCGTCTTCATCCGCTTTCTTGAACTCCTGCTCGAAGGGATTCGCCAGCTCGTTGAAGAGTCCCACCTCCTCGCAGTTCTTCAGGAATCGAGTGGGAGTCGGCGTCTGATCTGGAGACAGTAACAACTTGCAATTTACATCGCGCTCTTCACATCACACAGGGTAACCACTCGGAGTGCTTTGCAGGGATGGGGTTATAATATAACAATAATAATCTTTGCATTTGATACAGAGCCTTATCACAACTTCGAGACATCTCTATAAATGTAATTTTGTTGTTGTTGTCTCAAAGTGCTTCACAGGACACACTGCAAAGTGCAATGACTGTGTATTTTGTGGGCGAAATGTGGCAGCCAATTGCACACAGCAGCGTCCCACAAACAGTCGTGGATTGAGTGACCAAATGATTAATACTTATTTACTTGTTATGAAGGGATTGTTACCCTTATTGGATTATTATTGGATGCCGATCAGAGGAATGCGGCGAGGGGGAGTGACAGCCTAAGAGATAGAGGGTTTTAGGCGGGATTTAAAGACAGACAGAGTGGATGGACCTCATCTCACTCTCAACAGCAAAACTTACCAGCTACGATGACTCCATCCCTGGCTGGGCCGAACTTCAGGGTCATTTCGTGCTTATGTTTGTGCACAGCCAAGTGATCCTCGTTTGTGAATCGCTGTCGAAATGAGAGACAAAATCAGTTTTGTTCATAATAATAATAATAATACTTGCATCTGGTATAGCGTCTTATCGTGTTTTCGAGATATTCTTCCATTTGGTATTGTGCCATTTCAAGTTGAAACCTCTCAAAGTGCTTCACGCAATCGGGGGGAGGGGAGAAGGGGAGAAGGGGTCTAATTTGGGGCCATTTGTAAGAGTCATTCATGTAGACTCCGAGATCCTCTGCTGTATTGCATTGGAGCGTCAACTTAAATAATTATTAAGTAACAATAATAATCCTTGTATTTGATATAGTGCGTTATCACGTCGTTGAGACGTCTCAAAGCGCTTCAATGGGTATACTGCAAAGTGAATTGACTGTGTATTTTGTGGGCGAATGACTTAAGACTGTGAGCTGAAAGCCCTGATGTGGGGCTTGAACCCACAACCTTCTTCTGACTTCTGCCCCAGAGGCAAGAGTGTGACTTGATGAGCACAATTTCCATCTGTAAAAGCTGCTGATGGAGTAACTGAAAAGAAGAGAAAAATCAGGCAGAGGCAGGAAGCCGATGCGTTTAAAAAAAAATCAAATGACTTTTTTTTAAATAATTGGGATTTGAGGTAGAGATAAGCCGTGGCGGAACAGGCTCGAGGGGCTGAATGGCCTACTCCTGTTCCTATGCCCAGATTTGCACCTCAATCCCTTTCATCCGGTTCCACCAGTGTTAATGGAATTCCTCTCTCCCCCCCCCCCCCCCCGATTACACAGACCACACTTACTTAATAATTAGTAACAATACTACTACTAATAATACTTACTTGCCCACATCCTGGCGCATTGCACACAAATGGCCTGTCGTCCCCCATCTTCCAAATAATTTAGGCCCGAACTGGAAAAAAGAGGGTTCAGTGATAAGAGACTCAAACCATTGCACGAAGACAAGAGTTCACATCACGCAAGAGCGTTTCGGGCGGACACAGCCCCTCAGCCCATTCTGTCTCAGCTTTTCTGCAACAAGTCGCTCCATCATCTTCCCGTTGCAGCAACTCGTAGTTTCTCAAATGATTCCCGCCGTCCTGGCCCTCGACAACCTCACTCCAGCCGTTAATAATAATAATAATAATAATCCTTGCATTTGATATAGCGCCTCATCATGTTGTTAGTTACCCTCTGTGTAAAGAAATACTTCCCGGACTCTGTTCTGAAAGTCTCCTCACAAGCAATTTGGGAACTGAATCCTGATATTTGTGGTGTCCTGTAGGGTACTGGGTAACACACTCATCTCGCAACTGAGAGGACCGGGTTCGATTCCCGGGCAGGACGAAACCTTAGGCAAGTTTCCTTACTCCACATGCCTCTATTTACCCAGCAGTAAGTAGGAACCCGATTGGCGGATCACTTCTCCGGGGGTAATAGTCCCTTCAAAAAATTTGTTAAAAATAATGATTTGGCCACTGAATGCACAATTGTTTGTGGGACCCTGCTGTCCGCAATTGGCTGCTGTGTTTCACCCATAAAATATAGTCAATTCACTTTACAATATATGCTGTGAAGTGCTTTGAGACATCTCGAAGACATGATAAGGCGCTGTATCAATGCAAGGATTATTATTATAAATGATTCCCGGTGTCCTGGCCCTCGGTAACCCCACTCCAGCCATTAATTACTCTCCTTGTAGAGAAATACTTCCCGGAGTCTGTCCTGAAAGTGTCTTCACGAGAAATTAAGACATCAAGAAACCTGGTAGTGAACAATTAAACTAAGCTATTCCTTCTCCAACCATCCTCGTTAATAACTGAACAAAGACATGCCAGGATTTTATTAGGACATGGGAATGAATTCCCGACGAACAAATGCTGGTTGGAGCAGAATGGTAATAGCTTTTAAAAGGGAACGTGATTATAAGGTTGGAAAAGAGGAATGTGAACAGGGTGTAGGAGTAATTGGAGAGCTCTATCGAGTCGTTAGCACAAGCACAACGGATCTCTTTAAACCCACAAAATTCTACGCTCCTTTGAAAACCAACACTTAAAAGCTTCGGCTAACCTGGTCTCGGGATTCTCTGCGACACACGGGTGATATTAATGAACGCAGTGGAGCCCCCGATTCTCTTCAGATTGTAGCCCTTTGATGTGGGACAGTTTGGGGCCGCTGCATGGGTGGGGGCTGCAGACAGTCTGTCAGCTGTGACACTCCTGGAGAAGTGTATCTGACCCCTGAGAATTTGGATCAAATTGCAGAGAGAGCTATTTTGGATTTCCCAGAGCTCTGAAGAATGGCAAATCAAATAAACTGAAAAGACTAAAGAGAGATTCTGTGACCGACCGGTCTGTCTCGAATGGCCTCGACCTCCAACATCCTAACACTGAGTACCAAGTTATGTTCCCCTTGGTCAGACCACAATCAATTAAAATACAGTAAACCTCACACAAGTCGTCTCAGTTGGGACCATACATTTAAATATGACTTATACAAAGTAGGCGTTACGCCAAACTTGCAGAGACTATAAACTTTTGAACCGAACTTGGGCAGATGGACGACTTAGGCGATCATACGATTTATACTGATCAGACTGATGCGAGTCTTACTGTATCCCAAAGAGTGACAAGTTTCGACGCTTGGGAGAATAAGAGCCCGCTCAGAGTTTAACCAGCAGCCAGTGCGCACCGCGAGCGTTGTGTTCCAATAAGCCTTGCGTTTTATTAAGGCTTCTTATCACAAAATCGAGGCGGCTCAAAACACTTCACAGGATTTATTGTGAAGCGTAGCGACTGTCTGTTATGTGGGCAAATGCGACAACCGCAGCAGTGTCCCAAAAAACAGCCGTGGAGTAAATGACCCATTTTTATTTGGGGGATTTGTTAGTCAGGACACCGGGAGAAACTTTCTTCTCTCTTTGACTGATACCATGGGATGCTGTTTGGCTCCCGTCAGCACCTCCACATCTCAGGCACCGGCAGCATCAGCATCCAATGATGTACACTCCACCTCACTGAGCCAGTCCGGAATCTTGGCGTCTTGTTTGACCCTCAAGTGTCCTTTCTACCCCACCTCCGTGCCATGACCCGCTCTGCCTTCCCCCACCTCCGCAACATCGCCACTGCCTCACCCCTCAGGCCGCCAAAACCCTCATCCAAGCATTCATCACATCTAGGCTCGACTACGCCAACTCTCTGCTTGTCGGCCTCCCCAACTCTTCCCTCCACAAGCTATAGATCATCCAGAACTCTGCAGCTCGCGTCCTCTCCCGCACCACGCTCCGTGACTCCATCACCCCCACCCGTGCCCGGCTCCACTGGCTCCCCATCCCCCAGAGGGGTTCAAAATCCTCATCCTCACTTTCAAGCCCTCCACGGTCTTGCTCCATCCTACCTCTGTGACCCGCTATCCCCTTATCGACCTGTTCGCTTCCTCCGCTCAGTGGGCTGTGGCCTGCTCCACATCCCCCGCTCGGCTCAACCCACCATCGGCGGTCGGGCCTACAACCTCTGCGCCCCATCCTTTGGAATTCCAGCCACATTTCCTTTGCCTCACTTCCTCTCATGCCTCCTTAAAGGCTCGTCTCAAGACCCCCCTCTTCGACCTCGACTTCAGCCTCCCTCCTACCTTCCACCCTCCCTGCCCTCCACCCTCCTTAAACCCAACCCCGAGCTCGGGTCCAAATCCCTGATTGTCCAGCGCCTTGAGACGTCCTCTTGACGTGTGTGGCGCGTTTACAAATTCTGCATTATATTAATTAGTATCTTTAATGTCCCCGTGAACAGGCAGAGGGGATGGTTTTAACTTCTCATCTGAAGGATGGCACCTCCGACAATGCAGCTGTCTCCTTGGACTGCATTGCAGTGTTACCCTTTGAGACCTCAAAGGCTCGATGTAGGGCTTGAACCCACAACCTTCAGACTCAGAGACACGAGTATTCAAAAAGATCTGGAATTTGCTGCCATGTTGCCCTACAACTGCAGTCAATACTCTTTACAGTAAAATCCTGTGAAGCATTTTGACTAGTTTCAAATAAGCGATCAGGCACTATAATATAATAATAATCCTTGCAATTGATATAGCAGATTACTTCTAGAAGTCTCACAGCGCTTCACAGGATATACTGCAAAGTGAATTGAATGTATATTTTGTGGGTGAAACATGGCAGCTAATTGTGGTGCAGAAAATGCAAAAATCACTATTTAATTACATCTTCTCAAGTGATGTAACTATTTTATTACATCTTGCTTAAGGGATGTAGTTTATCTAATCATTGTTCAAAGCTGGTCCCTCTAGCATTTGGGATTAATCTTCACGAGTTTGGCAGTCGCCTTATTCTGTGTCACACAGTCTGATCTGACCAAAATACCGCATATGATTTCTTGAGGTTGAGTATGATTTGTGGGTGTATGAACTCAACTGATTTGGTAACATTTTCTACCACAATTTTGACAAGTCAATTAAAAACTACGGGTTTCTTTGAACTCCTCGCCCCAACGGCAAGTTTTACCTCTGTCATACGAGTACAAATAACCCCCACACACATATACGTTTACTTGCAATAATAATAATAATAATCCTTGCATTTGATATAGCTCCTTATTATGTCTTTTTGAGACGTTTCAAAGCACTTCGCAGAATATACTGCAAAGTGAATTGTATATTTTGTGGGCGAAATCAGTCATTCACCTCATGGGTTGTTTGTGGGACATTGGCTGCATTAAATTTAATAATAATAATTAATTTGCCGTTGATCAGCCCAGGTAATTGATCAGCCCAGCCCTGTCAAGGTCTCTTTGTAAGGCCTTCGCTGTCTCCACATTACACGCTGACGTGACATCGCCCGTGAAATTTAATTGTCTCCTCTGCGTGGTCAGATTATGCAGAAGTGCACAATAGGTGAATCAGCACTGTCTGACACTCCCCACTCCTTCAAAACAATCCTTCCACAGCAAATCCCTGAAGAGCAGTGGCCACTTCCTTCACTTTACCCTCTTCCCTATCCATGTCTGTGCCTTAGCCTTGATACCCACGGACCCACGTCAGTTTGGGCTCTATATTCTACAATAATAATCCTTGCATTTGACATAGCGCCTTATCGCGTAGATGTAACGTCTCAAAGCGCTTCTAAGAATACATTTCGAAGTGAATTGACTGTGTATTTTGTGGACAAAACGCGGCAGTCGATTGCGCATCCCACCAGCAGCGGGGGATTGAGACGCCCAACGTTTGGGGTGGGGGGGGGGGGGGGGGGGGGGGTGGGGGGGGATTATTATCCCCGGAAAGCAATCAGCCAATCGACTAAAAAAAAACCAGGTTCCCGGTTACAGCTCAGGAAACAGAGAGCGGTGCGGAAAGCTCGCCTCACGTCTCTCGCTGCCCCGGGGAATCGGACCCGGGTCGGTCCCGCTTGCCGGGCGAGCGCTGTCTGAACCGCTGCACGACGGGACTCCCCGGTTGGCGGCGGACTTTCCGCGAGCAGATTGTTCAGGCAGACGGTTCCCCCTCCTCGGGTGGGGCGGGGTGGGGCGGGGAGGGGTGGGCGGGTGCGCTCGGCGGGGCGGGGTATTGAGCGAACCCCACCCTTCCCCTCACAGGCTCCTCGAGGGGCGCAAGAAGATCAACAAACAGCGTACGGGGAGAATCCGACGGGGAACGCGCACATAAAAAGAAAAACGCCGCGAAATGTTCCCGTCCGTCTCTCTGCGGCTTTGTTCGGCTTCGGTTGTTTTAAGACACATTTCGGTCTCTTTGAGTCTCGTCGCTCTCTCTCTCTCTCTCTCTCTCTGTGTCTCCGTGTCTCACTTTTTTAAAATATATATATATACATATAAAAAACGAAAAAAAAATTGGGTAAAAAAAAATCCAATAAAATAAATGTTTCACCAAAAAACAAGAGTTCAGAGACTGGTCCCTTCCAGGGTCCCGCCCCCACCGCCCAGGGTCCCGCCCACACAGCCCCGCTGCTCGCTGATTGGCTGGTCGCGCCCCACCGGCCCGCAGGCCCGCAGGCGATTGGCTCCCCGCGCCGTCAATCAGCGCGCCGCGCGCTGGCGATTGGCGCCGAGCCGCGTCACTCCTCTCAGGGCGGGCGCTGCCGATTGGCCGACCGGGGCCGTCAATCGGCGGACGAGGCGCCCGCTGATTGGACCGCCCGGCTGCCAATCCACCGCCCGCGGCCGCTGGTTGGCCGAGACCGCCGCCCGTCACCGGTTTACCACGGACGGACGCCACTTCCGCTCGGACCCAGCCACAGTCCCGCCCCCCGCGGGGGAGTTTCGCCATTTTTTCCCTCTCAGGACTTGGGCTCAGGCCGCACCGCCCCCGCTCCCCGCGCGCGGCTCACCCGGACCCGGAGAGGCCTCAGCCGCCACCCCGGCCCGGGCCTGACCACGGCGGCCCGGCCTCGGCCCCGCGCCGCCCCCGCTTCTCAACTGTTGGTAAACTCACCCGAGAGGCAGCGCCTGAGCGAGACTCCGCCGCGAGAGCGTCAACAAGAGGTGCCGCGAGAGGGGCGACAGCGCCACCCAGTGTCAGGAGGGGGGAGACAGCGCCACCCAGTGTCAGGAGGGGGAGACAGCGCCACCCGGTGTCGGGGGCAGGAGAGACAGCGCCACCCAGTGTCAGGAGGGGGGGAGACAGCGCCTCCCAGTGTCAGGAGAGGGGAGAGACAGCGCCACCCAGTGTCAGGAGGGGGGAGAGACAGCGCCACCCAGTGTCAGGAGGGGGAGAGACAGCGCCACCCAGTGTCAGGAGGGGGAAGAGGAGAGACAGCGCCACCCAGTGTCAGGAAGGGGAGAGACAGCGCCACCCAGTGTCGGGGGCAGGAGAGACAGCGCCACCCAGTGTCGGGAGGGGGAGAGGAGAGACAGCGCCACCCAGTGTCGGGGGTGGGTGGGGAGAGACAGCGCCACCCAGTGTCAGGAGGGGGAGGGGAGACAGCGCCACCCAGTGTCAGGAGGGGAGGGGAGACAGCGCCACCCAGTGTCGGGGGTGGGTGGGGAGAGACAGCGCCACCCAGTGTCGGGGGTGGGTGGGGAGAGACAGCGCCACCCAGTGTCAGGAGGGGGAGGGGAGACAGCGCCACCCAGTGTCAGGCGGAGGACAGCGCCATCTTGCCCAGGAATGCAGGGCTCCCTTTCCTATTGGCGGTCACTGTGTGAACACACGGCTCTGCACCCACTTACAGCGTCAAACAGCAACCACTGCCCTCACCACATCCGGAGGTACCGACAATACCCATCACGCGTCAGGTTTCCTTTACCTCTTACAAACAACCCCACAGCACACACAGGCCATTCAGTTTACCGAAGCGCTTTGAGACGTCTCAGCAACGCGATAAGGCTCTTATACCAATTGCCAGATTTATTACAATCGCCCGACTCCAAGCCGAGAGGAGGAGGGGGAGGTGGCCGTAAGCACGGTCGAAGAGGAAAGTTTTCGGGGCGGGGCTTGATTGAAAGAGTGGAGGGGGCGAGGCCGAGAGATTGAGGGAGAGTGTTCCAGAGTTTCGGGGCACAGTGGCTGAAAGCGCAACGTCCGATGGTGGGGTCACTTTACAAGTTAATTGACTTTACAGTATGTTCTGTGAAGTGCTTTGAGATGACTCGAAGACGTGACGAGGCGCTATATCAAATGCAAGGATTAGTATTATTGTTGTTGTTGTGGATGAGAGGTTTGACACTCGCTCCCAGCTCAGACCACCTTAGATTGTGTAACATGGTCCCACGCACTTAGTTCTCCCTGCAACAGAATACTGAACCCAATATGACAAGCAACTACAAGGAAAACACAACCAGCTGTCCGACAGCAAGCCAGATAGACACCATTTATTTAAAGATTTATTAAGATTTCTCAGATGACACTTTTTTTCAGAAATGTACAATGCTTTCTGGACATGAGCTCAGACCTCTACGGAGATCCTTCTGTGCTTCCCCTCACCCTCACCCCACCTTACACAGACACACGCACTCCTGAAACATGGTCAGACATTTACAAGTGTTGTACAGTTCAACTGGTTTGACAGACTAATCCCTCACATGGCAAACAAGATGAGGAAGGCGACCATCAGACAGAACAAACCCATCGCCTCGGACAGGGCGAAGCCCAGGATGGCGTAGGAGAAGAGCTGCTGTTTCAGCGAGGGATTCCTGTAAAAAACATAACGAGGCTTTAACAACAGCAACTTGTATTTAGATTGCGCCCTTCATGAGGGGGAGCGCTGTTGTGCTCAAGTGGGAGATTCAAGTGCACAATCACATTGTAACAGAAACCATTAGATTAGGTCCATGTTATAATAATAATCCTGGCATTTGATACAGTGCCTTATCATGTCTTCGAGACGTCTCAAAGCCCTTCACAGAATATACTGTAAAGTGAATTGACTATTTACAACAATAAATTTAATTTATAACAAATTTCTACAATGCCTTTCACGTCGGGTGGACTTCCCAAGTATCTCAAATCGCTTACAATATGTCCTGTGAAGTGCTTTGAGATGTCTTAACAATGTAATAAGAGCTGTATCAATCAAATGCAAGATTATATTGACATTAAAATCCTATTCTCCTTAATACTTACTTCCCATGTAAGTAATCATCTCAATCAATTGTTCATCGATAGCTTTTTGGTCAGAAATGAGAACTCTCGCGTCTTGAGCTCATAAAGAGCACCGACAATCACGTGCCCGTGGACACGCGCGTGCGCAAACACACAAATACACGGAAATAGAGTAATACCCTCCAACACAATACAATATTTATACAGCACATTTCACATCAGGAGGATATCCCAAGGCATTGGACAGTTAGAGATTTGGACCCGAGCTGGGGGTCGGGATCGGGGAGGGCAGGAAGGTGGCCAAAGGCTCAGTTGAAGAGGAGGGTTTTGAGACGTGCCTTGAACGAGGCAAGGGAGGGAGTGAGGCGAAGGGACTGTAGGATAAAGTTCCATAGGTTTGGGGCAGAAAGCCCGACCGTCGACGGTGGGGTGCGCGAGCAGGAACACGTGCAGGCCAGAGCGGAGAGGTTGACACCAAGCCGTCACGGATCAGAGATTATCCAGAAAGGTGTCGGTGTGAGATCCCATGACCAGGCGAGACGTTACCTGGCGTATCCAATGATGAGGCTCCCGAACACGGTTCCGATCCCGGCCCCCGAGCCGGCCACGCCCACGGTGGCAGCTCCAGCCCCGATGAACTTGGCGGCCGTGTCGATGTCCCGGCTCAGTGCGCTCGTCTGGAACTCCCGGCGGGCCAGCTGAACCAGCGCGCTGGATACGCACGGCTTCTGGGCAGAGATTAGAGACGCGGTTACCACACCGTACGTCACCTCTCTCACATTCACACAATTACATTTCACCTCTGGGGAATGCCTCAAAGCTCTTCATAGAGGCCTGTGATCACTGAACAAGACGGGTCATAAGGGGGTTGGTTGGAGGCCAGTGATCGACCGGGGCTTTTAGAAGGATTCAAAGGCAAGGAAGATAGGAAGAGCATGAAACACAGGGTCGCTCTTTTAGCCACTACGCCCCAAAACTCTGGAACGCTCTTCCTCTATCCCCTCTTGCCCCTTCCTTCCCCATCTTCAGGTCGTGCTTAAAGACCTTCCTCTTCGACCAGTGGCTACGGTCACCTCCCCCCTCCCCACTTCTGGTCGTGCTCCACCAATGTCAAGGGCTCTGGGATGTTACGCTGTGTGAGGAGGCGCTGCGTAAATGCAAGTTGTTATATATGGAACTCAGTTTAGATCGGACTCTTAAACGTGTGTCAAACACCCGGCTGAGCAAAAGGAAATGCATGGAATAAGGATCATAACTTCAATGGAGTCATTTTACTTTTTGCTCCATTGGGATAAGTGACAGGAGAGGATTGTACCTCACATCCTGTAACTCAGGGTGCAGTGAGTCTAACTAAAGCCACAGTTGAAAGGATGGGGGGGTGGGGAAACCTTTTAGCAACTCATCTCCAATCTGTTACCTGGGTACAAAGCTAAAATACTGGTACCAATCAACACACGCATTTACCTGCTCGGTCCTGGCCTCAGGCCTGTTCAGCACCGAGGCAGATACGGGTCTGTAAAGCAGCCTGGAGCTACTGCGGACCTGCAAAACAGACACAGCCCCGCTCAGTTACTGGGTGAAAAAGCTCCACACGCCCGACACTGGTTTAAAAAACACTGGTTGTTAATATGAAGCAGCACTCATCACTCAAGGTAACTAAGCAACCCAGAACTGCTCACTCGTCGAGCTCGAGAAGCCATTCAGTGAAAAGCCAGATGACGTTTTGAAATGAGCTGGCTTTCTGCAAGGGCAAATAGAGGATGTGGAATCTGGCTGCGATTTTATGGGTTCCAAATATCATTTATAACAGGGAACCCTCAGCAGGTCAGGCAGCGTCTATGGAGGGAGGAAAGTGAGTCAACGTTTCAGGTCAATGATGCCCTTTCTCCTCTCCGTAAATGCTGCCTGACCTGCTGAGTGTTCCTAGCGACTTCCGTTTTTAGATTTCAGAATTCCGGCATCTGCAGTATTTTTCCTGACCGAGCAGGACTCAACTGCACTCCTTTAAAAATTACATTGGCAGGTAAACGAACAAAATGGTGCGGGGACAAGGCAAGGCATTAAGCTAGACAGCTCCTTTGCAGTCAATAATGAGGAAATATATATATATGTAAGATAATCACCAACGGAATTAAAGGGGAGGTTGTAAAGTAGATCTTTACGCAGAGAGAGGACGGAATGTGGAATTCTCTGCAAACACAAGCAGAAGTTAAAGCGGTATCTGTCATTCATTAGAACATAAGAATTCGCCAGGCGAAGGAAGGCCAAAGTCCATCTAGTTCACTTTCCACCATCCTGACAGTCACTTGACATGTCATGTCCCAAACTATAACACTGTATCCCCATTAAAATATACTGTATTCTGTTAAAAAGGTATTGATTAGATCAAAGGTTCAGGCCCCACTGGCTGAAAAGTCTCTTTATACGCTGTGTAAAAAAAAAATCACACGATTCCGAATCAACTGAGGCAATTGTCTTCGGACTGAAAAAGATATTAATTACAGCACAGGAGCAACATAAAAGCAGAGGAATTCTCTCCGGCTTCTCATACCACCGGGTTCCAGTAGAACTTTGCCCACAAAATACGCAGTCAATTCACTTCACAGTATATTCTGCGAAGAGCTTTAAGTCGTCTCGAAGACGTGATAAGCCGCCATATCAAAAGGATTATTATTATAACCCCAGCCCCCACCTCAGTTTATTCACAGAAGCTTCCATCCTCTCAAAGGCCTCACTCCGTAGCTTCGGGTGTGTTAGCGCACATTGCTACAAACAGACAACAGTGAATGGAAGTGCAAACACTGAAGAATGCAGTTGGCTTGATGAACCGAGTTTGCAAAACGAGGGGCGGGGTGGGGAAGACAAGGAGAAAAATGAGAAAGAACAGGTTGACAGCCACCTGACCTTGACAGCCTCACCAAGTACATCACAGGCAGTGCAGCCAGAGGTCAGTCAGTGGGTACAATGTCCTCTAGTAAGCGAGAGATGTAGAGAGAGAGAGGGGGGGGGGGGTGAGGTAAAGAGATTGACTTAATCCCTGAAGGTAGGTCTGAAGGACACTCACTGTCATCTGTTGCAATGGAAGGGACTTGGGCCTTTTTAGCAGCAAGGGGTCAATACAATGAATAATGCAATTAAACAGGTTATCCCTCTCTCTCTTTCTCTCTCTCTCTCTGTGTCCGTCCCTCCCTCCCCTGACACAGAGAGATGCACAAATCCATTGAATACAATCCACCCCTCCCTCACCCTCACCCTCTCTCCCCCTCTGATTGAGGGAGGCAGACAATGCAGCCTCAAGAAACATTGGCAATGTGGGGCAAGTGCTGCAGGGCCTTGACAAAAGCAAGTGGGTTACACACACACACACAGAGACACACACCCAGACTGACACACACAGACAGAGACACACCCAGACTGACACACACAGACAGAGACACACACCCAGACTGACAGAGAGACACACAGAGACACACACACAGACTGACACACACAGACAGAGACAGACACACAGACTGACAGAGACAGACACTGAGACACAGAGACAGACACTGACACACACACACACACAGACACCATGTCAGACGGGGCTGTCCCCCCCCCCCGGGGCTCAGGCCCAGCCCAGTCCCCGAGGCAGAGTTAGAGGTCAGGCCGGGCGGCCGCAGCTCTTACCAGGGCGGACGTTGAGACGAACTTGGCGCAGGAGAACATGGCGCTGACCGTGGGGCTGGAGGCGGAGGCGGAGGCCGAGGCGAAGGTCCGGGAAAGGGAGACGGAGACTCTCACTGCGAGACAACGGCGCTTCTCCTGCGGCCAAAGACAAAATGGCGGACAGTGGGGGAGGGGCGGGTAAGACACAAACCGGCGCCACACAGACCTCCCGCCCCGCCCCCGCGCCGCAAAACCGCGCCGCGCCGCCGCAATATCCGCGCCCACCGACAGGCGGGTAACCGGGCTACACGCCCCCCGGTGTTTGGGGGCCGGTCGCCCAGGTTCGGAGGGCGGATGGCGGCGGATTGCCCCCCACCTCCCCCCCACCACCGCTCCCGCGCCGCCGCCATCGGGGCACCTACCGACAGCAGGAAGAGGAGAGGGGGGGCGGGGCGAGGGGAGGGAGGCGCCGCGCAGGCGCACTGGGCCGGTCATTGCGGAGGGCTTTCTTAAAGGCGCACTCCCCTCTTTTTTTTTCCTGCCCCCCCCCCCCCAGGAACACTGGCTCATTCAATACAGGGTGACAACCCCCCCCCCCCAACTCTCTCCCCCCCCACCCACACCTCCCACCCACAAGGAACACTTGCCATTTAATACAGGGTGACAAACCCCCCCCCCAACTCTCCCCCCCCCACTCCACCCCCCCCCAAAAATAACACTTGCCATTTAATACAGGGTGACAATCCCCCAACTCCCCCCCCAAAAAAAAAACCCCAAGGTCTTGGGGTCATCACAATTTCAGCGCCTTGGGACGTCCTCCCGACGTGAAAGGCGCTCGATAAATGGAATCTTGTTGTTGTTGTTGTCCGTTATAAAGTTCATAATAAGAAATTAGAAAGTTTTCGTTTTAGGTAATGGAGTCCCTGGAGCTCAGTGTTCAGAGCGAGAGGATCCGGGGTTCGATTCCCGGGCGGGTCGGGGCGAAACGTTGGGCAAGTTTCCTTACTCCACGCGCCTCTGTTTCCCGAGCAGTAAGTAGGAACCCGGTTGTTAGTTGATTGGCGGATCGCTTTTCCGAGGGTAACAATTCCTTAAAAAAAATGGTCGCTCAAATCAACGACAGCAAACAGTGTCCCACCAACAATTGTAGGTGGCGTGACCAAATTATTATTCCCTTGAGGAATAAGAGTACTACAGGGAAAGCAGTTCATCCGTGGCTAACTAGAGCAGGTAGAGAAAGTATAAAACTAAAGGAAAAGGCCTATAAAACTACCAAAAAGAGTAGCAAACCTGAGGACTGGGAGTGTTTTAGGGACCAACAAAGCAAAACCAAAAAGATCATTAAGAGTGAGAAAATGGATTATGAGGGCAAGCTAACGAGGGACATTAAGGCGGATTGTAAGAGTTTTTATAAATACATTACAAGGCATAGGCTAGCAAAAGTAATAGTGGGTCCATCACAGGCAGAGACGGGAGGAATTATAATGGGGGATAAGGATATGGCAGAGTCCCTAAATAAATACTTTGCTTCTGTCTTCAAGTTAGAAGACACAAGAAGTTTACCAGAAATAGAGAGGAACCAAGGGGCTACTGATAGGGAGCAACTTAGGGAAATTTACATTAGCAAAGAATTGGTGCTGGGGAAATTGTTGGCATTAAAAACTGACAAGTCCCCTGGACCTGATGGTCTGCATCCTAGGGTTTTAAAAGAGGTAGCTCATGAGATAGTGGAGGCCTTGTGTCTGATCTTCCAAAATTGTTTGGATTCTGGAATAGTTCCCATTGATTGGAAGATCGTAAACGTCCCACCACTATTTAAGAAGGGTGGGAGAGAAAAGATGGGGAACTATAGACCAGTTAGTCTGACATCGGTGGTAGGGAAAATTCTAGAATCCTTAATTAAGGATGTCGTAGTGGGATACTTAGAGGATCACAATATGATTAGACAGAGTCAACATGGCAAAGGGAAGTCATGTTTAACAAATCTTTTAGATTTTTTGAGGACATATCAAGTAGATTAGATAGGGGAGAATCAGAGTGGATGTAGTGTATTTAGATTTCCAAAAGGCATTTGATAAGGTGCCGCATAAAAAGTTGATCCACAAGATTAGGGCCCATGGAATTAAGGGGAATATATTAGCGTGGATTGAAGAATGGATAACGGGAAAAAACAAAGAGTAGGGATAAACGGGTCCTTCTCAGATTGGTGAGATGTGACGAGTGGAGTGCCACAAGGATCAGTACTTGGACCTCAACTATTTACAATCTATATCAACAATCTAGATGAGGACATCGAACTTAATATATCCAAATTCGCAGATGACACTAAACTAGGAGGGAGAGTAAACACCGAGGATGACATTAAAAAAAGTAACAAGATATGGATAGGCAGGTGAGTGGGCAAATAGGTGGCAGATGAAGTATAATGTAGGGAAGTGTGAGGTCATCCACCTTGGTGGCAAAAATAGTAGAGCAGATTATTTTTTAGAAGGGGAGAACCTATATATTGTTAGAGTTCAGAGGGACTTGGGTGTCCTTGTACACCAGTCACAAAAAGTTAGTTTGCAGGTACAGCAAGCAATTAGGAAGGCTAACGGTATGTTGGCATTTGTTACAAAAGGGTTAGAATATAAGAGTGGAGAAGTATTGCTGCAACTGTATAGGGCCCTGGTGAGACCGCACCTAGAGTATTGTAGGCAGTTCTGGTCTCCTTATTTAAGAAAGGATGTACCCGCCTTGGAGGGAGTACAACGTAGATTCATTAGGATGGTACCTGGGATGAGGGGGATGAGTTATGAGGATAGGTTGAGCAATTTAGTCTATATTCTCTAGAATAGAGAAGAATGAGAGGTGATCTTATAGAAACCTATAAGATTATTAAGGGGCACGACAGAATAGATAGTGGGAGACTTTTTCCTCTGGTTGGAGAAACTATAACCAGGGGTCGCAGTCTTAAAATTAGGGGTAAGCCCTTTTGCACTGAGTTGAGGAAAAACTTCTTCACTCAGAGAGTAGTGAATTTATGGAATTCCCTGCCCCAAAGGGCTGTAGATGCTCAGTCCTTGAACATATTCAAGACTGAGATTGATAGATTTCTTGTGGATAAAGGGATTGAGGGATATGGGGATAAGGCGGGTAGGTGGAGTTAGAATAGATCAGTCATGATCTTATTGAATGGCGGGGCAGGCTTGAAGGGCCGCATGGCCTACTCCTGCTTCTAATTCTTATGTTCTTATGTTCTTCTTATTTTTCAAGGGACCCCCAGGAACAACTGACGAACAGCTGTGTTCCTACTTACTGCTAGGTAAACAGATGTGTGGAGTAAGGAAATTTTGTGTTTCTTTTGGCATACTAGCCAATGTCCAGTGAAACGTGGCTTAATTTGATCATTTCTCCAGAGGATTGCGTTCAAGACTTTTAAATCCCTCCACGTTATTGCCCCACCCAATCTCTGTCGCTTCTAAAACTCTACCAACCCGCCTACTCCCTACACTTGGACTCTATTCCCTCTATTTATAGAGCGCCTTTCACGTCGGGAGGACGTCCCAAGGCGCTGTAAAGTTGGAGGTCCGTCTCAAGACCTTCCTCTTTATCCGCAGCTTTGGACATCTTCCCATTTTGCAGGGAATTAATTAAAGCACTTTGCAGGGAATTGCTGTCAAGTGTAGTGACAGTGTGTTTCGTAGGCAGCCAATTTGCACAGAGCAAAGTCACTGCAAACAATCATTATCTGGAAGATTGTCGCCAGGAGATGGTGAGAAAAGTCATTCTCTTGTTCAAGTCTCATAGGACAGTGATTAGTGCACTTGCCTCACAAGCGAAAGGACCCAGATTTGATTCCCGGGCAGGGTGAAACCTGAGGTCAAGTTTCCTTGCTCCACAGGCCTCTGTTTACCTCGCAGTAAGTCGGAACTCAGTTGTTAGTCAATTGACAGATCACTTTCCGGGAGTAATAATCCCTCAATATTTTTTTAAAAAATTGGGTCACTCAATCCACGACTGTTCATGGGACACTGCTGTGTGCATTTCACCCACAAAATACACAATCAATCCACTTTACAATATGTTCTGTGAAGCACTTTGAAACTGCTCAACGAGGTGATAAGGCGCTATATCAAATGCAAGGATTATCATTATTAAAGTGTCTAAGAATCTTTCTAACACTGAATCATTTACACATTTTGTTGGGTGTGTGGGGGGGGGGGGTCAGCAAACAAAGGGTTAAGTGGTGCCGGACTTTGGTAACAGAACCCACTATCGGTCTCTGTGAACATTCAACAGGTCACGCAGCATCTATGGAGAGAGGAAAGTGAGTTAACGTTTCAGTTAATGTCAGAGATGAAAGGTCATCGACCCGAAACGTTAACTTACTTTCCTCCCTACGTAGATGCTGCCTGACCCGCTGAGTGTTCCCAGCGACTTCTGTTTTTATTTCAGACTAGCTGTACCCGTTGCTGTAACCAGTTTCATTTAACCGTCCTTCACTCTTTTGTCTGGCATTTTTATTTGTCCTTGAAAGGCTTGATCTTCGCTTCTTAGGCATTTTTATCCCTTAGAAAATGTGCTATTGAACTCGTGAGCATCATTCACATATTTGCACACATATCCTTTTGAGAGGACTCCTGTGAGAAGAGGCTTGTTGTGAGGACTCAGTGGGTGGACTCCTGTTGGGAGGAGGACTCCTGTTGGGAGAACTCGTGTTGGGAGGACCCCTTGTTGGAGTCCATACATGTGTGATGAGCCTGTTTAGGTCAAGATAGGAGATCCTTGAAAAAAAAACAATATGCCCATTACACTCCCCCATATAAGATCTTCCTGATGAGGTATAAATCATGTCTCTACATCAATCTGTTAGACACACATACAGACAGACATTTCGTCTTTATTAGTATAGATGTATCTCTCTAGAAGGGTGTGTGACCTCTGTCGGTATTTGGTTGCAGAATACCATGCATACCTTTTTGGGGGCTTAATTAAAGCATTTGTTAATTCATTTTTTAATGTAGCCCATCAATGATAGGAGACCCCCGAAAATAAATATGCCCATGACACTCCCCCTCGCACAACCTTTCCGATGAGGTATGATTCATGTCTCTTTGCCAATCGGTTATTGCGTTCTTGGCGGACAGACAGACAGACAGACAGACAGACAGACAGACAGACAGACAGACAGACAGACAGACAGACAGACAGACAGACAGACAGACAGACAGACAGACAGACAGACAGACAGACAGACAGACAGACAGACAGACAGACATTTCTGTGGACCAGGAGAGTGTTGGGAGTTTTGTGACCTGCAGGTGGCGGTGCAATTCAAGCCCTTTGAAGATCAATTTCTCTGTTGGTTCCAGTGTCACATGAAGCTGGAACAGCAACCGGTTGGCACATCAAAGGATGGATTTCCTCCTAAACCCCACTTCTTTTCAACACGTGTTAACACGTTACGTTCGCAAGCGCAGAGGGTATCACTGTGGTTCAGCA